TTTATAGAAGGTGTAAAGACATTTGACAAAATTCAGCCAGTTTCCAGCGGGCACAACTCACATTTCATTATGTGTGACTGGTGCCCCCTGGCGCCCGACTCAGGCAGGACTGGCAACTACCGGTGAGTCCCAGCAGCCCCAAGAGAAACTAAAGGAAACCCCAACATTTTAAAAGCCACTTGCCGAAACTCTCACTGCTCAGCTCTCACATGTGGATTTCCACCCATATCAGAAACAAGCCTGGGATCATTACTCAACATTGTTTCAGAGGTTCTAACTAAAGCAAACTGACAAAATAAATTGGTATACCCTGCAAATTTATATCTATAAAAAACAGGCTTATTAAAACTACCAGAATTCCTAAGATAGAAAGTGAATTATATTAAATATTAGCTTTTCTTCATATTAATAATCAGTGAGCAATACAGATGGGAAAAAGTATTTCATCACAATAGACAAAAACCATAAAACACTTAGGAATAAATTTAACCAGAAAGTTATAGAACCCGTATAAAGAATTTATAAAATCTTATTGGAGGACCTAAAAGAAGTCTTGAGTAAATGGAAAGCCATTTTTATCCTCTGGGGGAGGATTAATATCATAAAAATGTCAATGCTCCCAAAACTTACATTTAAATTTAATGCAATTATAATTTAAATCCCAATGGAACACTTTCTTTTAGGCAGGGATGGGAGAGAACTGGATAGTGCGATTAAATATTTCATGTGAGAGAATAAATTCTAAGACTGGAAAATCATTTTTTAACAAGTGAGGGAGATTGATCTATTTAGATGCTGATGATGCCCACAATTATAGTTTCAGCCAGAACCTCACCCCTCACATCACACTCACTTGTGCAACTGACCACAGATGTCTCCACTGGGGTCTAAGGGGCATCTCAAACGCAACAAGTCCACACCTGTTGGTTCATTTAATAAGAGTCTCATTTAATAAGTAGGGCTGGAATGAGTTAATTTCCACCTGGGGGCAGGGGACGCTTGACTCTTTTCTTACAGCTTATACAAAATATATTCCATGAGGACTACAGGTTGTCTAGTAAAAAATAAAAAATAAACATTGCAACAAAATGTAAGAGAATATCGGGGGAAGGGGAGAAGAGAGAAGGGGATGGATTTCCCTAAGCATGATAGGAATCCCCAAAACTTTAAAACATTTACCTTTCAACAAACACCATAAACCAAGCCAAGGACAAACGCATAGAAAACAGACTAATGTTAAGTCCAAGAGGCTTCAGGCGCTCGGCCTCAGGTCCAAAGGCAGGCACACACCCATCCCGGCAAAAGGAAAAACACGCAGCTTCCTTTCCTAGTGTTTGTTCTTCCTTGCAAAGATAAAAGCGCCGACCCTAAGGACATCTGTTCAACGACTGTTTTCCCCAGTGACTCCCCAAAAGTTGGAAAACAACCGGGGGGGGAAAGATTTCATCTGCACTTTGACTTAATTAATGCTCAGCAGCTTGCAGGAAAAAAAAAATCCTCGCTTTTCTGCTTGGGGTGTGAGTGGGCCCTTGCTCTCCTTGTAACTCCAGCTACTAGAGAGTCTGAGGCAGGAGAATTGCTTGAACCCTGGAGGTGGAGGATGCAGTGAGGCGAGATGGCGCCACTGCACTCCATCCTAGGTGACAGAGCGAGACTGTCTCAAAAAAAAAAAAAAAAAAAAAAAAAAGAGAATCCCTGGAAGTACTTACCTAAAAGATGCGAAGAAACCCCCAAAGGCCACAGGTACCTGCAGCAAACCCTGAGCGCCGCCGCAAGCTCGCGAGGCTTCCAAAGCGCATGCGCAGGTCACGGTGCACGTGCGGCGCGCCAGCAAAACCGCGCAGGCGCCGTGTCGCTTCCGCCTCGAGCGTGCGGCGGGGTTGGGGAAGCCCTCTACAGTTCATAACCGTTGACTGGTATGAACCGTTCATAACGGGCGTTCATAACCACGCCGTGTTAGACTGAGCATGACCAGTCTACAGACCCGCGAAGCCTCTACAGAGATGGCCAAGTGCTGGAGTCCTGGCTGCGTCCTCTAGGCCAGGTGAGAATTTACAACCCACCCTCGGCCACGTGTTGTGCTGTGGTCGCTGATAATTAAGCATGAGGAACTTGGCCGGGCGCGGTGGCTCAAGCCTGTAATCCCAGCACTTTGGGAGGTCGAGACGGGCGGATCACGAGGTCAGGAGATGGAGACCATCCTGGCTAACCCGGTGAAACCCCGTCTCTACTAAAAACAAAACAAAACAAAACAAACTAGCCGGGCGAGGTGGCGGGCGCCTGTAGTCCCAGCTACTCGGGAGGCTGAGGCAGGAGAATGGCGTGAACCCGGGAGGCGGAGCTTGCAATGAGCTGAGATCCGGCCACGGCACTCCAGCCTGGGCGACAGAGCGAGACTCCGTCTCAAACAAACAAACAAACAAACATGAGGAACTCAAAAACTCTGAACCTTCTGACAAACAGGTTCCCCCCTACCCACTGCGGTGCCCCAAACCCAGCGGGACAGATTGGTTTACATGGTGTAGCATTGGGGAGGACCCAGAGCTTTCAATAAGGAAAGAAATGATGTGGGGAGGGATAGTAATCAAAGTAGGGGATTAGGCCGGGCGCTGTGGCTCCCAGCCCTTTGGGAGGCTGAGGTAGATGGATCTCAAGACCAGGAGTTCAAGACCAGCCTGGCCAACATGGCGAAACCCTGTCTCTACTAAAAATATGAAAATTAGCCAGGTGTGGTAGCACGCGCCTGTTAATTCCAGCTACTAGAGAGTCTGAGGCAGGAGAATTGCTTAAACCCTGGAGGCGGAGGTTGCAGTGAGGCGAGATGGCGCTACTGCACTCCAGCCTGGGTGACAGAGCGAGACTGTCTAAAAAGGGAAAGAAAAAAAAAAAAAGTAGGGGATTAGAGCTGGCCACAGCTTCCCCAGAAACCTGCAGTTACTGGGGCAGGAAGGGGCCTTGGAGAATACCTGGAAGCATCTCAGTAGAATCCAGAGGGGACAAGAAAAGAGGAGGGATAAGGTCTGTCGCATCCTTCCCTTCTTATTGATCCAAGTTTGCCCTAGTGGTATGAACTCCCTTACCTTCCAGGCCTTGGTGGGCAGCTGCTGACATGTCCAGAGCCCCAGGAAGTGCTGAAGGCACCTGCGGTTCAGGCTCCATGGAAGCCCAGCCCTCCTCCATCCTTCAGGGACACTGAAACTGGCCAAATGGTTAGGCCATGAGGATGGCTGCTGAGTAAGCACTTTACCCCCACATAGGACAAGAGTAAGCAGCTGAAGGCCTACAGGTAGCAGGTAGGCGCCAGTGAAATCTTGGAAGCAAAGACGTGGGGGTCAAGAACAGCAGGGAGCTTTGGGCCCCCATCCCAGCTTCAACCAGAGCAGTTCCAGGACTCCTGGATTTCCATATGGGCTTCTGGATAAATTTTAGGTAGGTAACAGGCCCTGAGGCTGAATAAGCTGGAAAGCCTCTGCCATCACCCAACTCCCTTATTTTAGAGGAGGAACGGGGAGCCAAAATGGGCAGTGACTTATCTGAGGCCTTGCCAGCTTGAAGAAAGAAATGTCTGCTGAACCCATCAGTGGCCCTGGTAAGGCCTGGTGCATTGCAAGTTACTGGATGAAAATGGTGACTGGCCGGGTGCAGTGGCTCATGCCTGTAATCCCAGCACTGGGAGGCCAAGGTGGGTGAATCACTTGAGGTCAGGAGTTTGAGACCAGCCTGGCCAATGTAGTGAAACCCTGTCTTTACCAAAAAATACAAAAATTAGCTGGGCATGGTGGCATGCACCTGTAGTCCCAGCTACTCAGGAGGCTGATGGGGGAGAATTGCTTGAACCCAGGAGGTGAAGGTTGCAATGAGCCGAGATCATTCCACGGCACTCCAGACTGGGTGACAGAGCAAGAGTCCGTCTCAAAACAACAACAAAAAAAATGGAAACAACCCCAAATGTCCATAAATAGGAGACAATATATCAACACATGAAATGCTCTGTGGTTCATGAGAATAAAGAAGACCCATATGGGTTATTCTGAAGCAGGTTCCACTACACTTAAGCTACACTAAGTAGTTAACAGGCAGAAAGGGAACAGAGTAGAAGTGTGTTCACTTAGGAGGGATACTCTCCAGGGAGAATTCAGGGATTGGGTGGGAGAAGGGAGCCTTGCTTTTCATGGTCCAGCCTTTTAGACGGTTTTAATGTTTACCATGTGCATGTGTCACTTAAAAATCAAACACCCTAGGTGAGGCATGGTGGCTCACACTGTAATCCCAGCACTTTAGGAGGCCGAGGCAGGTGGATCACTTGAGCTCAGGAGTTTGAGACCATCCTAAGCAACGTGATGAAACTCTACCAAAAATACAAAAAAAAAAAAAAAAAAATTAGCCAGGCGTGATGGTGCGTGCCTGTGGTCCCAGCTAGAGAGGCTAAGGTGGGAGGATCACTTGAGTCTGGAAGGCAGACGTATCAGTGAGCCAAGATCGTGCCACTGCACTCCAGCTTAGGTGACCAGGGTGAGACCCCCATCTCAAACAAAACACCCTAGTACCCACTCCTCTCGGTCCTTAAACACCAGCGTTGCTGCCCTTCACTTTCTTGCAGCCTTGTGCAAAGGACCTTTTCACCACAGATCAGCCAGACCATCTTCCTCCTCCCAAGTCATCAAAGAGTTCCAAGCTGGTCACCTGTCCCTTGATGTTCCCAGGAAACTGGCAAAGAGGACCCCTGCATTTTATCTTCCCATTGGGAGTGGCAGGATCTCTGCCTGGGAAACAGGCTGCATTCAGCACAACTGTGGTAGCATTAACAAAGCACAGTGGGCACATCTAGAAGTTGAAGCTAAAACATTCAAGAACTCCAGTCTGTTTCTGTGGATGTTAGGGGGTGAAGATAAAACAATGGAAGTGATGAGGAATAACTTGAAGACCGTTTAAAGCCACAGTGGTACAAAGAATGAAGAGAAGGAAGGTGCTGAATTTTACTAAGAAGAAAACAGACCGAGTTCAGGAGTCTCACCAGTAGAAGTTTATAGTATTGCATTTTGATTACATGTGTGTGAATTTTAAAAATTGATTACCCTCCAGTAAAAATGCAGAACCAACTTGCATTTGGATTAAAACATTAGGTTTGGGGACACAAGTGGACCCCATGCTGCCTGAGATGAACAGAGACAGCAGGATGGCAGAGGAATCACCAGCTCAAGAAACCCCAAGACTTGGACAGTCTTCCAGCAGAAGAGGCCAGGGTCTCTCAGTGTACTACCCCAAACAGGCCTCTCCCAGAGAGGTAGTCTGGGAAGGCCCAAAACCCACCAGACATAGGCACATCCAGTGGGGAAAGACTTCCCATTCCAGTGTGGCCTGCATCCCTCACCTCTGCTTCCAGTCTTCTGCTGGCCTCGGAGCAGCAGGGTAGCCATTGCTGATCTGGGTTAGGGAGATGCCAGAAACACACCCAGGTTTGAACCACAAGTTAGTGGTACAAAGTCATAGTCCTTGTGCCTTCAGAAAACCCAGAGGCCCCAAATCCGAGTGGGAAGAGAGTTGGGAAAAACTGAACCAGATTCTTCCAGTGGCCATTAAAGAGAAAATTCAGCAACCCTTGCCTTTGTCTTTGACCCTGAGAAGTTACAGGACACAGATTGTGGCACTATGATGGGACATGGAGGGAACGCATGGTGTGCTTCCTGCAGAGATGCCTCTGGAGTCCCTGTGGCCAAGGGACCTCACTGGCCCCCTCCTCAGGCACCTCGATGGGGCTCAGTGGGGCCCGGCCAAAGGGTAGAAGTAGAAAAACATCAACAGGCTGTCCAGATCAACTGGCACCATCCAGGGCCCTGCTGCACCCACACATGGAGGTCACTAGCTCAGCCCCAGGGGTTTTTTCACACCCAAGCTCCGTCCCTAAGGAGTCCTGTGGGGTTCCACACTCAGTGTGCTACCCAAATCAGAGATTCACCACAGATCTGTCTCCCCTTCAACCTGGACTCAAGTTACTGCGGTAAGAAACCTCACTGACCATGGTTAACTGAAGAAATCCCTCCTTCAGAAAGAACCTGAGTGGTAGATGAGGTGGTTAGACAGGATCTTTTTCCCCCAAGCTGTCTGGACAACGCCACAGCCAGGACCAACTCGGACAGCTGCGAGAGAGAGCCCCTCCAATGTGGAACCTCCTACACAGCCCCCCTTTTGGGTCCCTGGATCTGAGCCCCCAGCAGGACCACCACTCTGGGGGGAAGTCTCCCTCCTATCCCTCAGATCCCCACGTTGTTCCTCCTCTAGGAGAAACGTCAGCCCTGCCCCTGGAGCTTCTCTAAGATGGCACTGAACTCGCCGTTATCTTGAGGAGCCAAGAGCTGAAGTGACTCCGGCTTAGCAACCCAGTGTGGCCAAAGTGGAAAGGTTCTCTGTCCTTTGCAGTCACCAAAAAAGAAAAAAAAAAAGAAAAAGTATGGTCTCACAGGCACAGCATCTTCTTTTAAAAAATAAATATTTATAAACTTAAGGAGGAAGATTCAAAGAATCAGGGTATCTTTCCCTCCAAAAACACAAATGTCCCCTGTAAGTCAAACCAAGGTGCGACCACCAACCCATGAATGAAGCCCCCTCCCCCTGCAGCTACAGGGTTGAAGGGCAGGTGGGCAGGGGAGCTGCTCTCTCTCCCGCCTTCAGTCCCCCTTGGTGATGAGGTCCTCAATGTAGGCGTCCAGCTCATCATCTGTGTTGATGTCTATGTCCTGGAATAGAGCAGGGCAGGAGTCAACGGGGGGCCAGAAAGTGATTGGGGGGCCCACCTTTACACCTTCTCTCAGCTTCTGGGACAGAGCCTAGAGTCCCCTCCCCCACCTCCCACCCCACCCTGGATGTCAGGCTTCTGTCCTATCTTTATTCTCCCCTCCTCCATCTACTGTGCACGGATGATGCCCAGATTTCCTGTGCCCGCCGTGCCTCTACCCCATGTTCCCAGTTGTCTTAGATGTACGTTTCCCTCAGATCCTACAAATATGCCCACTTCTCTCCCTTCTGTCACTGCCCAAGGTCCAGGCCACCACTGTCTCAGACAGCTGTGGGAGCCTCCTCACAGGAGGCTCTGGTTCTAACTTTGACCCCTCCAGGCCTCCTCCAACCAACCAGGTAAGTGTCTTGAGACTGAAAACTGGATCATGCCACACCCCTCCAGTGATCTCCATTGTTCTCAGGATCAAATCCCCCAACTTTCAAGCCCTGCCTCTGCTCCTACTGCCCCCAAGTCCCTGCTCAGGCCTCAAGTCCTCCTCTTCCTTCTGCGTGGAATGCTCGTGTCACACTCTTTGCATGACTGGCTTCCAGTGTCTCCAAATGCCTAAGCCCCTGAACATTTTAGTCAAGTGGCCTCTCAACACTTTACTGTATCTCCTTAGGAACCACCATCAGTAATTCTGTCTCTTCCACCAAACTGGCAGGCTGTGAGAGCAGGAACCTTCTCTGGCTTGTCTTATTCATTCTGTATCCACAGGACAGGCACAGAGCAGGCCCTCATGCTTACTGCCTGGATGAAGGACCAACAAGCTAAGGAGCACTCCCCACTTCTGGGCTACCCAATCCCATCTGGGCGTCATGTGGAAAAGAACTTCATTTTTATGGCTTGGAGGGTTCTCAAACCAGGCTGTACCTCGGAATGTCTAAAGGGAAAAAGCCTGGTTCTATGGGTCTGGCTGGGCTGAGACCCAGGCAGCCACACCATCTCAAGCTCTCCTGCCAGGGTGCTGTGCAGCCAGGGTGGGAACCACAGATTCCTGTGAGTGGACAAATTCTTGTGAGAACAGGAACAGGTCCTAGGCCCCCCTCCCTGAGAGACCAGGTGGTCCAGCTGCAACAGGAAGGCTGCCGGGCTCACCTCCTGCACCTTTTGCAGGAGTGCCACGATGTTGGTCCTCAGCTTCTGCAGCTTCTCCTCCGTCTCGCGGAGCTTCCTCTCGGAGGTACGCAGGCTTTCCTCGGAGGCCTTGGCCCGGGAGTCAGCACGGCTCTGGTAGGAATTGCACAGGTTTTGGAGCCCTACTTCATATTGCTTGAAGTACTCTTTCTGTTGGGAGCACAGCAAGAGGGAGGGTACATAAGGGGCTGCCACAAGGAAGAAGACAGTTAGCACACAGGTGAAGCACTCAGCACAGTGCTCTGGCAGACAGCAGGCCATGAGGACACATGAGGGGTGATTCTTACCATTCCAAGTGGCAAAAAAGGTTGACAGAATCACTCTTCCATGCTCAATCATAACCTGTCTGACTTCAGTACAGCCCTGTGCCATCCACTTCCAAGACATACCCAACAATGTCAGCACTCATATCAGTTCTCTCTTCACCTACCAACCAATAGCAGATATCTTCAGCTCTGTGGAGCAGTATATACTTCTGCAGCATCAGAGCTTTTTACTATTTTCCCTGAGTACCTGAAACCTCCAGCGGGTGAGGTAGGAAACAAGCAGTTTTTCTAGTGGCTTTTGAAGCAGAATACTTGTTTTAAATGAAATGTCACATGGAATCTCAGTGTGAAAAACAATGTAAGTAGTATCTCTTTAGGTTCAATTTATTTTCCAAGTTCAAATTTATAAGATGACTTACTCGTAAATCACTGAGAATGATGAGGCCACTGTGATGAACACACACACCTCAACCAGCAGGTGCTAGCTGGCTACTGTAGTCTTATCAACTCTGGTGTTTACTTCTGTAAAGATGCATGAGCTGCCCAGCCTAGAGAGGCTTCTAGATGCCATTTTTTAAAACTGTTACTGGCAAGTATCGAACCGTGTCATTCACCTTATCCTACTAAAACCAAGATAGCAAGAGAAACTTCTACACAAAACAATAATTGCCTTGGCAGCACAAAATAAATGCTGGAGCAATCCCCAAAGTATTAAAATTCAGTATACAACATCTTGAAAGCAGACATGGTTTGTAATAATTTTTTTTAATTATTTTGAGGTAATTGTAGATTCACATATAATTGTTACATTCGTTTTTTTGCAAAATGATACTTGAATCTAATATTGCAGGGCTCCTGAGGCTCTATGGAACTCCTGATGAATACAGTATAAAGGACATAACTGACAAGGACATATTGAACAGTAGACTTTGTTTTATCCCTGATGCTAAAAAAATAGTTTGAGTGATGGCCGTGCGCGGTGGCTCATGCCTGTAATTCCAGCACTTTGAGAGGCCGAGGTGGGCAGATCACGAGGTCAGGAGATAGAGGCCATCCTGGCTAACACAGGGAAACCCCGTCTCTACTAAAAATACAAAAAATTAGCAGGGCATGATGGCAGGCACCTGTAGTCCCAGCTACTTGGGAGGCTGAGGCAGGAGAATGGCATGAACCCAGGAGGTGGAGCTGGCAGTGAGCCAAGATTGTGCCACTGCACTCTAGCCCAGGCAACAGAGCAAGACTCTGTCTCAAAAAAAAAAAGAAACTTTGAGTGGTTTTAGACATTACAATTAGCAGAACAAAGGTGATCCACTGGTATTATAGCTCCTTGTACAAAAAAAAGCTAATATACTTTTTTTTTTTTCTTTTGAGACAGAGTCTCGCTCTGTCGTCCAGGCTGGAGTGCAGTGGCGCAATCTCGGCTCACTGCAGCCTCCGCCTCCCGGGTTTACGCCATTCTCCTGCCTCAGCCTCCTGAGTAGTTGGGACTACAGGCGCCGGCCACCATGCCCAGCTAATTTTTTTTTTTTTTTTTTTTTTTTTTTTGTATTTTTAGTAGAGACGAGGTTTCACCATGTTTGCCAGGATGGTCTCGATCTCCTGACCTTGTGATCCGCCTACCTTGGCCTCCCAAAGCGCTGGGATTACAGGCATGAGCCACTGCGCCCGGCCTAATATACTTTTTTTTGACACAGTCTCACTCTGTCACCCAGGCTGGAGTCCAGTGGCACAATTTCAGCTTACTGCAACCTCTGCCTTTCCCCAGGTTCAAGCGATTATCATGCCCCAGCCTCCCAAGTAGCTAGGATTACAGGCCTGTGCCACAACATCTGGCTAATATTTTTTATATGTTGTAGTAGAGATGGGGTTTCACCATATTGGCCAGGCTGGTCTCAAACTCCTGGCCTCAAGTGATCCACCTTCCTCAGCCTCCCAAAGTGCTGGGATTACAGACCTGAGCCTCCACACCCAGCCTAATATACTATTTTTAGACACTCATGCAGACTTTGTTTTGGGCCCAGGCATTCAAGCCCACTGCAGAGATCCTGCTACACCTAGGCTCTACTCTGAGTTTGGCAATAACTTTAAGCTAAAATCAACAAATATGACAAGAAGATGCCTCCAGGCCAACCTAGCCACCCTATTAGCTGCTTGTTCCTCCTAGGATTTGCAGAGAGCACCTGCAGCCTAAACAAGGACGAAAGTTGAAGCGTGGATCTTTCTGTGAAGCAGCTGTGATTTCTGCACCTTCTAGCTCCCTCACTGAGCACCACCCCTTCATATCTTGCCAGGAGAGCAAGGCAGCATCGTGAACAGAGCAAGTCCTAAGAAGTACCTGGGTTCAAATCTGGGCTCTGTCACTGACCAACAGACTCTTTACTGAGCCTTAGTTTCTTCAACTCCCGCTTCATTTCACATTTTAAAAAGTAGAATAAAGACAAACACCATGTTTTTTTATCTCTGGCAAACTTTATCAAGCACACAACTGCCCCATGAGGATCCGACATCTTGAATATACTAATCCTAATCCTGCAGTTTCCATTCCAGTTGTCTTTCTCTAGAACCTCTTTCCTAGAAAACTTAGCTATTCCTATCATAGAAAAAAATCATCCCACTTCATGTGGACAATTCCCAGAGCCCCATCTCCAGCCCTGGCCTCCCCCTCCCTCCAAGTGCCAGTCCCTGATTTCCACCTGTACACTGCACATCACCAAAAACATAGTGAGGGCACTTCTGGCACTACACAAACCTCCACTCGTCACCTTCGTTGCACTTACCCATTTTTCTCTCCTAGTTAATAGCTTTGTCATCAACCTCCAGTTCCCACAGGCCTGAGTCACTTGCCTACAATCCATGATCAGTCTGCTGACAACCGCTGACACAACCCTTTCACCCCCAAGCCCACTGCCACCACACTGGCTCCTGTTCCCATTCCCTCACCTCTGACCTTTTACATAGGACCAGCCTCCTCGCCCCTGCATCTCCCATCCACCCATTCTACCCAAACACACTGCTACCCAAATTACCCTCTTAGGGGCAGGAGCAGCAGACTACAGCCCCTGGGCCGAATCAGCCTGCCAACTGTTTTTGTAAATAAAGCTTTACTGGAACACAGGACATCCGTTCCTTTACATATTGTCTGTGGCTGCTTTCATGCTATAATGGCAGAGTTGCCACAGAGACTGTATAGCCTGTGAACCTGAAATTACTTGCCAACTGGCCCTCTACAGAAAAAATGTGTTGACCGCTGCCCTAGATATGGTTTGGATGACAGTTCCTTCAGCTCAAAACTTTTGCAGGCTCTTCTCTTCATACAGAGTTTAAGCCAGTATGACAGACTGGGGATTCAAAACCCATCATATCCTGGCTTTCAGGCCCCTCTACCCTAAATGCTCACCACACAGCCTGCTGCCCTAACCCCACCCCCAGAGCCTTTGCTCACAGAAGTCCCCACCTCAAACACTCCTTTTCACTTACACAGGCAGGCACTTGGCAAAATGCACATTTTCTTCCAACTCAGTTGCTCTCTCTGCCCCCTAGGCCACCACAGCCCTCCATAGCCTTTCTATCCATTTTCTCAGCACTCACTGCTCCTGCCCTCATGTCCAGCTACCTGGTAACAACTCAGTCTCTACTGAATCTTGAGCCACTAAGGCAAGACTCTCTTTTGCTGCTCACTATGAGGTCCAGCAGACACCTGCTCGGGCAAGGCACCCCTTCAGCATTTGCTGGGTTAAGTAAGACCCAGTGCTTATGTCCAAGCTTCTCTGTACCTCCTTCTGAGTGTCAAGTTCTATGCACTTTGAGCCTCAGCTCTTCACTGTTGCCTGGGACAGGTTTACTCCCTCTGCTGGGGCAGAAGAAAGGGGGTATGCTTGTCATAAAATGTCAGACTACACCTGCTATCCCTAAGGGATGACTCAACTCCTAGCACCTGTGGTGGAAGGGGTTGGCTTTCTGCACACCAGAGTCATATCCAGCTAAGCCAATTTTTTCCCCACATCATAAAGTCTCCTCTTCTTTCAGCAGAAGAGAGGCTGGCTGAGATGGAGCACACAGCTGAGAGCTAGCAACTGCACCAAGCATAACAATCACAATCACAACAGTTACAACAAATCCAGGGGGCAGGGGTGGGGCAATGAAGAGTGTGGAATCGAAGTTCAGGCCAGACTCACCAGAGGGAAAGATATTAGCTCATCTGAATTCATAGCACTCAGCTGCTTCTTGGAGATGGGGAAACTTGGAGGCAGGAAGTACCGTAAACAATTCCTGAAGAAGGCAGGGACAGTAATTCAGAATGGCATGGAGCAGACAGAGAGCTGCTGCTGGCCCTGGGGTGGGAAGACAAAAGACACATGTACCGGAGGATCTGGACGAGCAGGTCGATGGTCTCATGATTGGTGCTCAGGGCAGTGGTGTCAGGCTCAATGCGGAGGCATTCGGAAGTGGAGGGCTCTGCCACAGCTATGGCCTGTTGGGCCACAGGGCCTGCCTCCTCCTCCCCGCCCTCCTGCTGCGTGTCAAGGCTCTGATGTTCCGGAGAAGGGGGCTTCATCAGCCGCACATCCTCACTGCCTTTCTCCACCCTGTGGAAGACACACAGCTTATGTCACATCTGACCCGGGCTCCCAGGATGGGCTACTGGCAGGGAGGCCGGGGATACCTCCTTCAAGGAACCACTGCTCCTCCGTGATTGGGGCATTACCAGCGGTCTCTTGGTGTCGTGTCTGTGGGCACGTAGTCAAACTTCACCTTCCACCGCACCACATGCTTGCCCACCTCCACGGCTGTGACACGGCCCGTGTACCACTCCCTGTTCACACGCACCTCCACGTGAAGCCCTTTATCTGACAATGTAGACAGAGGTGCGAGTCAGAAAACTAGCCTATAGTCCCTCACTTGGCCGGGGCCACGTTGAGAAAGGCAGTTCCTAGGGTTTGGAGGACAGGAACACTTAGGTGCTTGCCCCCAATACACCAGGGACACAGAAACCAGGGACCAGCCACCATGGTCTCCTTCCCCATCTGTCATGAGGGTGCCAAAGAGCAAAAGAATGAGTGATTGCCAGGAGTGAACACCAAGGAATTAGTGTTAAAAATAACCACAAAGGGGTGATCCCTTCAGAATTCTGCTTAGGATTTGACTTGGATCCACTGCTGCACAAGAGCCCAGACCCAGGAAAGACTCCATGAGCCTTTGGTAAACTGCTGCTGGTAAGGGGCTCCACTTCCACTCCCACTCCCACCCCCGCCACAGGCTGCCAGGTCACTCCCCCAGCTCACCTTTCTGAGCTCTCTTGAGGTCAGCTGAGTCCTCTTCCCCAGCACTGTCTGAGAGCTGTGTGGAGAGCAGTCTATTAGAGGCATCCCCAGTGCCCCACAAGAGCAGACTTGTGCCTTACTGGCCATCAGCCATCTTCACGACTTCCTGTGCTACAGTTTAAATCACCAAGCCCTGCTGAGAGCCACACTCCAAAATCACTGTCCAAGGTACCTACCCTTCTGCCACCTTTATGAACAAGACAGCAGGCAAGGGACATAATGTGTTTCAAGTTTCCCTGATGTACGTCTGTGTGACTTCAGGCCTGTGGTTAAGCTAGAAGCCAGTCTCACTCAAGACCCTACCTGGCACCATGTGTAGTCACTTGTGTAACTGAGAGTCCTTGAGAGATCACTAGGCTTCTGGAAGGCTCATGACACAAATATAAACAGAGCTGGTGTAGACTGCTGGTGTGGGGTATAGACTGCTGGTGGGGGGTGTAGACTGCTGGTGGGGGGTGCAGGCCCTAGAGAGGGAGGCTCTTTTGAGAACCTCACCTCAACCACTCACCTCATTCGAGTCTTTCTTTTCCTCCTTCACAACAAATCTGCCCCGCTTGCATCTCTCCTTCCTCCTCTCAGCTTCTTCCTCAACTTCTTCCTCATCAGAAACCGCGACACTCCTCTTCCGACTAGGGGTAGCCTAGAGCAAGAGGAGCGTAAGGATGTGAGGGGCCCTGTTCAGCCTCTAGGGGGCAGGAAGATTTCATCTAGCCTAAAGGAGCTGTTCCAAGAGGAACTGTACTCCCTGCAATCCCTCCCTGACATTACTTGGAATGTACACAGGCAACCCACTGGCCCCTGTGCCATGAGAATCTTTGCTCAAAGCTGTCATAGGAGAAGCTTCTCAATTCCTTTCCCACCTTAGTCTGCCTGGCCAGCCAGCTGTCACCTTCCCAAGAACCACCGACCACTGCTGCAGCCCACTCGGGCTGTCAAATGATGACTGACCTAAGCCCACACTTCGAGAGCCAGTGGAGGTGACTCAAGTTTGTGGCAGACCAAAACTCGGAGGGAGCAGTGAAGAGCTCGCTGTACAGGCAACCAATGTGCTCTCTGGCCCTGAACAAGTCCATTCAGCTATCAAGGCTTCCCCTCCTCAGGGGCAGCAGCAAAGCTTTAGATTCAGTATCTTCCCAAGGCTCCCCCAGTACAGCTGTGACACTGCACAATTCCATTCCTACACTACTGACACTGGGTTGGGGGATCGACGAGGACAAGCCTCTCACCGGGGAGAGTTTGATGGGTGGCTCTGTCTTCTTCACCACTGGAGTCTTGATGACTTTGGGAGAAGGAACCTCCCGAGGGCTCTTGGAGTTGGGCAGTAAAGATGGTGGCAGTTGCTGCACCAGAGGGGCAGGTCGGGATGCAGTCTTAACAAGAGTGTTGGCAGGCTTTCGGGGTGCCTCAGGTGGCTGGAGCAGCCTGGATGTGCTGGCCTCCTCCCGGGCTGCCAAAGCAGGGGTTTTTGGGGTACTGCTGATAACAGGAGCCTTTCGGGGCTGGCTGGCTGGTCTAGGAGTTGGCAAAGAAGGGGGTCTGCTGGGGGCGTTCCTGATCACAGCAGGTAAAGGGGGCGACCGAGGACGCTGAGGTCTACGCACAGGTTCCTAAAAAAAGGCCCACAGAGAGTGAGAACACTGATCCTAGCATGAGACACCTGAGGAAAAGCCCTTCCCAGGCCCTGGACTTCACCTCAGTGGAAGGTCTGGTGGTCACTTCCAAAGGCAATTTCTTCAGGTCTGCTTGGGAGCGGATGGGTGTGGTTTTCTGCAAGGCAAACATCATGATGAAGTTGTTTGCATATTTTAGTATACTTGAGCAACCTTTTTGGATAGTGTCTGGAACCAGGGACAAATAAAATAGAAAACCATAGTCCTACTCTTACAAATCTCCTGTTCTCACTGGGGAGACACAAAATACATAAATACTCAACTATCAGCAAATTACAGGATACTGTGTGATTAATCCAGCAACTGAGAGACTGGCCAGGGAGGCATGCATAAGACATCATGGGTTAGTGAGAGCGTATCTGCACAGACACAGAAGCCAAAAAGGGAAATGGTTTTGTACTAAATATGATAAAGAGCTGATATCACAGACATATCTAGAAAAAAAAAAACAAAGAAAAAATAAAAATGTAAGTGAATAAGCAATTCTAAAAGAAAAGTGGACACATAAAAAAAAAGTGGACACATGAAAAATTATGCAATCTTAGAAATATTAAAGAAATTAAATTATAAAACATGCATCTTTGCCTATGAAATTTGCAACAACATTTAAAAATAATACTCTCATATACTGCTGGTAAATAATAGAAATTAACACATCTCTGGAGGGTACTTTAGAAATAGTTGCAAAAAGCCACAGAATTTTACAATGGACCTTTTAAGTCCTTTAAATTCACTTCTAGAAAGTCATCAAAACAATGATGCACTAAAAAACGTGTACATGTGTGTGTATTAATATAAAACATATATATGGCATTCTCTCCCTATTTCTATTAAAAAATATATATTCATGTGTATTATGTGTAGGTATTCATGAGTTCATGACAAGTTGGAAGGATGTATGGTTAATGATGGTTACCTCTAAGGCAGAATTTTTATTTTCTGGAGTTTTATAAATTCTAAATGAATTGGACCACTTTGAAATATATAAGCAATTTTTCTTAAGAATAAGCAAGGTGTTATTCTTAAAATAACACTGTTGGAAAATAGTACACGTGGACCTGGAGGTTGGGGTTGGAAAGCTTTGGCAAACACACACAGGTGAGCGGAGGGTAAAACTGAGCCTGAGGGAACAGGAAAGCTACTGAAGGTTCCTGTCCCAGGCAGAGCCCTGACACAGGCTGGCTCTGCCCACTGACCATGACCCACGTACCTGAAGGGCCTCCAGCTTCTCCTGCTGCTGGCGAATTTTCTCTGTCAGTTGTTTCTGCTTCTCTTCCTGCGTCTTCATGTCCTTTCTGAATGTTCCCAGGGGAACCTTCTGCTTTTGTTCAGAAGCCTCACACCTGTAGAGAAAAGGTACTAGGGAGGTCATGGCAAACAGAGCCCCAAGCTGGGCAAGGACCTTTCTCTTCAGCCAGTCTACACTGTCTGTCACAAGAGCAACTACCTCAGAGTTCCCAATGCACGGAATTATCATATGCCCTGCAGGACATACATCAATTCTTATTTCTTGGGCACTTATTAGGTATAGCAAGACAGAGATATAAGGTATGTGCACTGACCTCAAGAAACACAGTGAGTTATTTATCCCAAGAGTAGAGAGAACGGTGAGGGGCAAGGGAGAAAAGTACCCACAATCCCCTTGTTAGAGAATATGCTCACCGGTCCTGTTCAGGATCAGGGTTCATGGAGCAAACCCAGGTGTCAGGGTAATCTTTTTCCACAGAACTCAGCTGGAAGGGGAGGGTTCTCCATTTCAGACACAAATCTGCAGAGAACAAAAAAACCCCATACATCAGCCACCCCCACCAACTCTGTCTGTAATCTGGGCTTCTCACAGGCCCACCACAATGATGCCCCACACTTCGCAGGCAAAGATCTTCACTCAGGCTCCAACTCTGCCTATCCTTAGAGAATGCTAATTCTTCTCAAGGACACTGATTCCAGGAAGGATAGAAACTTAACATGGTGGACTCTTAACACTTCCAGCCCCTCTCCCTCCTTTATCAGGATCCTGGCCCAGTCATCCACGCACACCAGAAGCCATGTGGTACCAAACCAAGTAAGCCTGGCCTGGCTGCAGCTGGAGAGGTCTGGGAGGACAGATGACCTTCTTTCTCACACAAGAGGGACAGGTGAAACTCAGCAAAGCCTCAAGACTGCGCTCACAGGGCCAGCACCAAACAGACTTGGATCCCTGGTGGGACTGTAAGTCCATGAATGTCAGTCAAGTTAGGAGGCTGGCAGGAAGATGGAGAAAAGAAGCTTGCAGGCTGATAGAAATGAGTCAGGGGGATCCAACCACACAACTCACCGCACTGGATGGTGGTAGGGATTTCCATAGCTCTCCGGCGTTTGTAACGCAGCTCGCTGGATGGGGGCTGGTTCCAGTTGGCAGAGAGGTAGCCAAACTCATCCCAGAACTTGATGATTCCCCGCTGGGCTGGAAAGCAAACACCCACACATCATGTTAGGAGCCAGCCTCTCTCTCTCCCTACATTCAGGTGAAGAGAAAAGGCAGAGGCCCAGCAGCCCAGTCCCATTACCAATGGCAATGTCCTTCCAATACTGCGCCAGGTGTTCCCCCATTGCTCGGAGCAGGTGCCGGTACTCCTTGGCATCAGCAAAGTCCTGTTTGTTGTGTGTAGGCTCCAGGACTAGGTAGGGCACGTCAACAACCCCAACAACCCCGCCGCATGCCCTACAAGGAGAAAGAGAACAAGCTCTGTCACCCCACTGGCAACACCCTCCTGCCAACTATCCTGGGCTAGACAGCTCTCCGTGGGTAGTACTCACATGCCCCCTTCCAGCTGTGGGCCCACTTTCTCATACATTTTGATCAGCCGGCTACAGTTGTAGATGAACATGCCATCCAGGTCCCGGTGTTCAATGTTGACCCCAAAAACAAAATTCAGTTCCTTAGGTTCTTTAAGTGCTCTAAGAAGACAAAAAAATTCAAGCAGATCTACACATCAGCACACAAGCATCATGGTGTTTAAGATGTGTTAAGCTTAAGCTTAAACTTGAGACATGTTAAGCCAAAAGTTTTGTATCTCCATTCAATGTGTAACCTGTTAGACTTGATACAGACATGCGCTGGGCACCAACTCGAAGCATCTCTAATTAAAAACATGAATGTGACTTTTTGGCAACAGGGACGGGTATAAATATGAATGGGTTATTATGAAGCTGCTGCAAATCTGTGCAAAGACAATTATATGGTGGAATAAACAAGAGGTTATCGTCATACCTTCCCCCAAATTCCACTAGTATGACAGTAAATTATTATTATTTTAAAAGGTAAAAATTCACAAGAACAATAAGCATGTGCAAGAAGACACCATCATGTGATTACTGTCAACAAACTCTTGGAGCTGAAAAGCAGATGGATGAGAAGTGGACTGACTTGGAGAGAAGAAACCTGAAACCCATGCCTGCGCCAAGGAGGCCAACAAGAGGCAAAACTGTAAATCAAGCCACAGAGTCCAAAGTGGATCCAGACATGGAGGTGGGACAAGCAGATAACTTAATGATCCAGGACAAAGGATGGTTCTAAATGTAAAAGTATACAACACTCAATCTCCAGCATTATTCTACATATGTAACCACTGAGGAGAAAATGAGTATGACAAAATACATACGTAACATAAAAACTAGGGTAGTATCACCAGGTGGTAGAAGTATAAGGGAGTTTTAAAATGTTATTCCTTAAACATTTTATATTTTTCAAGTTTTATACAATGAGCATTTTATATATCCTTTAAATGAAAAGAAATCAAAAGGGAAAAAAAAGTAAGACAGTGCCAAAGGATGGTTTGGTGCTCGATCCGAGGCTGTCAGCCCTGCCCTGTCTTTATGACTCAAGAAAGGGCTGAGAGCTCAGATTAAGACCTCCCTCCTGCAGGGGGCATTTAACAAGCATTTGGCATTAAAACAAAGCAGTCCTGGTGACAGAATAGCAACCTATCAATAATCAGTCCAAAAGCTATGTCAGTTTAAAAGATCCAAGACCAGGCCTGGCACTCACCGCTGCTTGGCCTCCTTGATCCTCTTCTTGACATCAGCTTCTCTGCGCAGAGTGATGGCTGTGTTCTGGACCTGTCGCAACATCACCTGCACACACATTGGCATCAGGTGAGAGGAGGAGGCACCCTGGGCCACAGCAGGGAATATTGAAACATGACATCTAAAACTTCTCAATTTATCTCAAAGATGTGGAAATTTACTTCTTTCTACAGAAAATGGCCCTCACTGGGGACAAACTCAAAAGCTGTGTTTTACTTGACCAGGCTCATGGGACATGGGCTCCTAATGCCAGAAACGCTGGAGAACAGCCACCTGGGCCAGGACCTTACCCTGGAGTCCCGCGTGAGGTCTCCCCCTAAGCGTACTTCTAACGTCCGAGCTTTGCTCTCCGCCTCCCGCGCCTTCTCTTCAGCTGAAACCCAGAAGAGAACATGGAAAGGAATGCAAAGCTTCAAAACTCTTGGTCATCCCTCCTGGATCCACAGTACTGGACAAGAAGTGTGTATACCACCAAGGAAAAGAAGAGGTGGGGGAGCTATGACTGATGAGCAATATGAGGGCAGCCTCTGTGCCTGGACTGCAGTTAGTTGCAGAAGGAAAATCTAGCATTCAAACCTATCATAGAGGCCCCAAGGAAACTTTACAAATGAACCAGAACAGGTTTTAAAAAAAAACACCTAAGGCAACCAGTTAAATGCTCAGCAAGAGCTGGAAGCTAAAGAAGTCTTCAGCCAATCATTCGCCAACAAGCAGTCGAGAAACCCTGAGAAGCCCTGAACAGCGAGACAGCCCTTGAGATGTTTGCCCTGAAGTCAGGAAAAGCAATTTCACAAGTATTTGGGTCAGAGGACTGAGTGGGATAAGCCAAAGAGTTGACACTTTTAGGCCCTATAAATGGCTGAAGAAGAGAAAGTGGAGTCTAGAAAGAAGAAATGCTGAGGGAGTTGGCCTGTAGGGAAAGGGGCTGAAAAGGAACTGAACTATGCTTCAGGAGACCAGCCTTGTCCCTGAGCTGTGGACTCAGCCTTTTCCTGGAACCCCACTTTGCCGACAAGCAGCATACCCCAGATGCACCCCTCCCCCACCCCACTCCTGCACCCAGAGTGGCATTACCAATCCTTGCTACGTGCTCTGCTTTCTTCACCTCCTGCTCGGCACGGGTCTTGAAACGGCTTGACGTGTACTTGTACATCCTGATCAGTAGAAAAAGCAAGCTGAGAGCCCACGCAACAGTGGGGCAGGTGGCACACCCAAGCACAGGAAGCACCCTGTCTTCCTGCCTCCTCCTAAGCTATGCTGTCCTGGCCCCTCGCGATGAGACAAATCCAAGCTCAATTCAGCAAAAAGATGCAATTTCTTATTCCACTTGCCCTTAGCCTCCGGCTGTCTTTGATAAGCAACCTCACCATTCACCAGGGGTGTCATTCATCCCACAGCAGAAACAAACCTCGGGAATAAGCCAAGCCCACTGCTTTCCTATATAGTGCCTAAAGGCCCCTTGGCCCTGAAGCCGAGAGACTCAGACAGCTCACTGTGCCAGGCAGGGCACCCTCCCTGTCACAGAGGCACACACACTCAATGAGCTTAGCAAGCCACCTCCACAGCTGACCTGTCCCTCCCCTAGGACCCAGAACTGACCCCGTGACCAATCACAGGCAACTTAAAGCCCCAAACGTAGTCAGCACTGCCAGAGCCTCTCATACAGTATCCCTCCAACAATGCCCCAGAGGAACGCGGCCACATCCTCAACCCATGGGAGACAGCAGGCCAGGGTGCACTGGCCCCTACCTGGGCTTGTACAGGCAGCACGAGAGCCTCTTGGTCTGCACCTTGTGCCCATGGATGAAGATCCTCATCCGGGGATCAATATAGAGCACAGCGGCATAGGCACGGAATGAGCGCCGCTCTGGCTTCCTGGAGAAGGCAAGAACAAAGAAGTGCTGTCACCTGCTCCACAACAGGGCTGACCAAGGGCACAACATCCTCTCTGCAGGCTCTCCACCTTTCCATGTTAGGTACTGACTTCTCTTGCTGCCCTGAACCGGTGCTCCCTTAGTGTGAGCACATCCCGCCCCTCTCACGTCCTCAGCACAGGTACCCCACAGGCAACTGACCTCGCCCTACATACTACCGTACCACAGAACACTGGGCAATGAATGTGCTCTCCCCTCTTTCCCTGAAGCTAGCTCCTGAGAGCACAAACGCCAGTTCCAGGGCCTCCCTCCCTTCCCAGCCACACTCACGTGCCCTCTGGGGACGTCTCTGCCATCTGGATATCTCTTGGATTTGAGATTATGTCTAGTTCTGGCTCTCCATTATCCATGAGTTTGAGATTGAAGATGATCACCAATGTTCCTGAGAAACAGAAATCCTTTGTCCTGCCAGATCCCCCGGCCCACCCCTACACCACTTGTGATTCTGGAGCTCCCAGATTCTAGGGGCTACAGGCTCAAAGCCTACTTACCACTGTCCCCAGGAATCTTCATAAATTGGGTCATCACTTCCTCCTCAGTGCGGAAGGGAGAGTACTTGTAGATGAGTTCTGTCTCAATGGCAAATTTCTCTACATTGTCTGTGACAGGCTCCCGGGTCCGAGCATTCCAGGTGGGCAGTGGGACTATCACCTGTGGAGTAAACATGAGCAGGCACTTTAAGGGAAGCCCCAGAACAGCCTTCCTCCCACATGTGCATCTCTCTTGTGTCTCCCCATAGTAGCTCCACACTGCCCTGTAGGTGAGGCCCAAGCTCCACAGCCTGGCACCAGAGGCTCTGTGGGCTTCAGGGCCTCTGCCTCTTCCCAAGACTCAGCCACACAAGACTACTTCCTTCAGGATACGTTGGTTTATGTGCTTAGGGTCTCTGCATGAGAAGTTCCCTGCTTGGGATGTCTCTGGTCATTTTCTTAATTTGGTAAAAATTCTACTCTTACCACTAAGGAAAATATATTTGCAATTATCTAGTGAATCAGTAAATACACATAACATAACCTAAAACTCAGCAGTTCCACTCCTAAGTACATAACTTAGGAGAAACTTTTGTACATATGTACCAGTAAACATGTACAAAAATAACCCAGGCCGGGTGCAGTGGTTCATCCCTGTAATCCCAGCACTTTGGGAGGCCAAGGTGGGTGGACTGCCTGAGCTCAGGAGTTCGAGACCAGTTGGGGCAACACAGTGAATCCCCGTCTCTACTAAAATACAAAACATTAGCTGGGTGTGGCAGCGTGCACCTGTAGCCCCAGCTACTCGGGAGGCTGAGACAGCAGAATTGCTTGAACCTGGGAGGCGGAGGTTGCAGTGAGCTGAGATCGCACCACTGCACTCCAGCCTGGGCAACAGAGCAAGACTCCATCTCAAAAATAGATAAATGAGTAAATAAAAATAACCCAAATATCCATTCTAGAGTGGCCAAATTAAACAGTACAATGGAATACTACATAGTGATACAAATGAACTGCTTTTAGCATCAACATGGATGAACATCATAAACACAGTGTTACATGAAATAGGATACAAAAAATACCTACAGTAAGAGTCCATTTCTAAAAAATTCACAAATAGGCAAAACTAAACTATTATTTAAGAATGCATACAAGGGTGATAAACTATAGTGAAAACGAAAGAAATCATTATCACAAAAGTTACCTGAAGACAGTTCCTTCAGGGGCACAACAAGAAATGACTGATGAGGGCACACAGGACACTTCTAACATCAGTCTGATGGTGGCAACACAGGTGTTGGCTTTAAAATTGTCCTCTGAACTGCACAAATATTTCAATACTCTCTTCCATTTATGTGGAATTTAATTTTAATAATGTCTAAGTGATGTTTTAAAAAATCCTACTCTTTCTTCAAAAACCCAACCTCATATGCCACTTCCCCAGAGGCTCCTCCCTCCGTGGTTATGAGGCCGCAGACCTTGCAGAGCTCTGCAGAGCAAGCCAGGCTAGGTACCTCAGGGGTTCAAACCCTTTGGAAAAAGGGACTCTGTAACAAGTGCTGGGGTGATAAACCGTTAAGAGTCTGAGACATTTTGCCGGTTTTTTTTTTTTTTTTTGAGACGGATTCTTGCTCTTGTTGCCCAGGCTGGAGTGCAATGGCATGATCTCGGCTCACTACAACCTTCGCCTCCCGGGTTCAAGTGATTCTCCTGCCTCAGCCTCCCAAGTAGCTGGGACTAGGCGTACACTGCCATGCCCTGCTAATTTTTGTATTTTTAGTAGAGACGGGGTTTCACCATATTGGTCAGGCTGGTCTTGACTGCGTGATCTGCCCGCCTCGGCCTCCCAAAGTGCTGGGATTATAGGCGTCAGCCACCGCGCCCAGCCCATTTTGCTGGTTTCTAAGAAGCTTTGTGCTGCAAGTATTCAACCCAAGGGCTGGTCTGGACACATTCCTCCTCAGCTGAAAATGATCTTATTTTGAAATCTTGGCTGAGTTTGCACTAGAGTCCAGTCCAAAATAGCGACCTTCTAGCACCAAGTAAGGAAAAAAATCTCAACCTAGCCTCTCCACCAGGGGAACTGAGTTCCATTTGTGTTCTATAAACCTGTACCTCACTCTACGCCTCCCATTCTTCACAGCAGTCCCAGGTGACAATGGCATCACTTTAAACATTGGCGTTCACTCCCATGGGCACCCCATCCCTCCCCTCAGGAACACTTCTCCTTTAGTTTCAATGGTACCACTTGCCCAGTTTTCTTCCTACCTTTCTGGCTACCCCTTTGTCCCTCTTCTCCTCTCCCCGACCTTTAGATATTGGCATGCTCTGGGTCCCAGGTCCTCTTCTCACTCTATTCTCTCCATTAGGTGACCTCATTTGCTACCAAGAATCCTGAAGCCCCAAGACTTCACCCAAACGCCAGACCCAGACTTCACTTTGCATGTCCAGAAGAAACTTACTCTTCCCCTCCATACTTCCCCTCTTCATTCTTCCCAACTCCAGAGACCCCACTCCCCAACTGCCACAGCAGAACCTATGAGTCATCCATGACTCCTACCCTTCACTTTCGCCTTCTACTAATCAGTCAATCATCAAATCTGTGGGTCCCACATCCTAAGGAGATGGAAACTCCATGTATTTCTCTCACCTCCCTTGGGCGAGTACCACCAAGCTACACAGAGCCTGGGCCTCTCAACTGGAACACTTCAACACTCACCCTAACCTTTCCAACCCAATCACCACACAATCGCCACATGGACCTTCTTAAAAGAATCTGATACTGGCATATCCTTGTTTAATAAAGCCCCACACATTCATCAAGGCCCTGAGGTCGAGCCTAACTTGGCCCTCTTTGATCTTCAAAGGCCACCACCTTTCTCCAGGTGGCCCTGCAGCCAAGTCCCCTCCCACAGCCCTCAGGGCCTTAAGCAGGCTGCTTCTACTGACTTCTATACCCTCCTGTCACCATCCTCAGTCCTATATCAGGAAACATTCCTGAAAACCCCAACCCAGGCTGTATTTTCCTGTCCTACTTCTCCTAGAAGCCTGCTCTTTCCAGCTGCCACGCTTCTCTCAAGTATGCAGAATGAACTCACATACCACACCAAAAATGCAAACAAACCCACTGGCTTGCTATGTAATGATGGAAGGCCTACCATTCCCTACCTGAATAAGTTTGCTATGATTAAGGCTCAGATCTAAACAGAACCAGAACAAGTTTCATCACAGCTAATCAACACAGATGAATTAAATTGTAAGTTTGAATTAAACTACCTGCTTCTGTGGAAGTTGTGGATTTCTTTCTACAGAACCTCTTAGCCCCCTTCCTTCAAGCCCTGGCCTCCATGTCTTAAATAAGAAAGGAGATAAGAGCCCAGTCTGAGGCTGGCTAGACCACAGAGCTGCCCTGATCCCCGACAATGATGGGGCATAGACCTCACCAGAAACAGCTCTGTAGATATCTGAGCCACAAGGACAATCAGCCAAATATGTGTTTAGCTTACACAGTCGATTACCAAAATGATTTAAACTCAGAATATTCTGGATTCATTAGTCCTTCCTTCCAGCATAGCAATAATCACTGGGGCTGTGTAGCAGCTATTCCCAAGGTGAGACCCAGAGCATCAGCTCTATTTTCCTGTTTTCCATACACTCACCTGCTTTACTACCTGCCCAGGCTCTCTCTAGGTATCTGAGTCATAGTTTCTGACATAGAGTAACACATTTTCTCAAAAGGAAAATGAGCTCATAGCACATTCCACAAAATCACCATCAAATAGGAAAGACACACGATCAGGGAAGCCCAAAATACTTCCCCTGATAAAACAATTCTCCACGGTAACACTCCCCCCAAGATGGAATTCAAGTGGCAGATCTAGAGGAGCTGCAAATCCAACTCTTAATTCCTGCCACTTGACAGTCTCATTATCAAAAACAGTTGTTCTCTGAAGTGCTCTGAGATTTTGCTTCCTCTCACATTAAAGTTATCTACCTTAACCCCTCAACCAATTCATCCAGCCAGCTAACTGAGTAACAGTTGGGGGAATGTGCTCCAATCCCGCAACCCCAAAGAGTCTAGCATTGCAAACAACCTATGAAAACTGCCTGCGGATACTCAGGAAATGGGGACTGGTGATTCAGACCATGAGGATGGGACCTACTTCATCAATGCCTTCTTCCTCATGAAAGGTGCGAGACAGGAAGAGGCAGGTCATGGTGTCTTCCTTCTTGGTGAACAGGATAAAATCCTTCCCAATGCGCATTGAGCCCCTGAAAAGGAAGCAGAAATATGTTATTCTCTCCTAAAGGCCTCCCCAGGTCCCAGGACTGTGCACTGAGTTCCATAGCCCTTATTCCCTCTCCATCCCCCAACACTCCTTGCTCTGCTTTTCCACAGGCCTGTAACTCCTTAGTCTTTACTTACAACTTTCTCAACCACACCATACAGGGCAGGCTCATGGCAGACCACGAGCCCCAGGTTAGTCTCACTCCCCGCCACAACACTAAAGAGTAACCCTGCTGTCTTTGAGCTCTGGGTTCATCCCAGCCACAACAGGTGCTGTGCCCTCTGACTGTACCACCATCAGACTTTAGTAGCTGGTACCCTCAACACGTCATCTTCCATGCTGACCACACCCAGTTCCCACCATGTCCTTCCTCAGCTGACACAAACTCCCCTCCATTCACGAAACAGCAGCAGCACTGTCAAGTGAAAAGCCCAGTGCCTATACTCACAAGCCTGAAAAAACGCCAGTATGAACCCAAGGCGCAGCTAATAAAATATAATTCTTGACCACCAGGATTCAAGGATGCCTGTAATTAGCTCAGCTCATGTCCAATAACTAGAGCCATCTCCTGTCCCAGAATTGTTTTGCCACCTCAAGCTCATTATGACACAGGCAGCTCCCTGCTTTTGGATGCAACTGGTTTCTGGGAACTGTGCCTTGAGGCTGATTTCCAAAAGGCAAAAGTCTGAATGGAATCAACTGCTTCCTTCCTCTGTTTGGCCACGTTAAGCCAGCTAAGGGGCAGGCAGAGACAGGCCTTTCCAGGCAATGCAGGGCAGGGCAGAAGTGTGAAGCACCAGCACAGGGACTGCTCTCTGAACAATGGGGCTGTTCAGCTCCTTTCTTCCAGCAGCTTCTGGGGCTTTATGGCTATTATCTCATTAGTCTTCATAACACTCCAGGGAGATGATGGAGGTGGAAAGCCTCATTACTCTCTTCTGTGTACCAATACAAACCAGACTGGCATGCCAAGCACACAAATGAATGTCATGCCCCATTTCCCCACTCAGGAAAACTCCCAGGACACTATTCAAAGATACCCTGGGGGCTGCCAAGTCCTAGTTCTCCTCCTCCAGTACCCAAAGTGCTGGCAATGCTCCTTGCCCTGACAATTTCACACACCACCTCCTCCTCCTTCTCTAAAGCATATGGGGAGCAAGTAAGGCACGTTATCTTGCCTTCTGTCAAAGCATGCCCTTGCCCTAATTTGGCAAAAACTCTCACTTTGTGCCTCTATCTTCCTTCTGTCTTTGATTCTGACCTTAGCCTCTGAATAGCAAAAGGCCCAAACATCACTTCTCTACTGGCTTCCTTGCTTCTCGGCCCTATTCTCCCCACAAATCACCTTCTCCTGAAACTTAACTTCTGAACTGGTTTCAAGATGATTTGATTGTCTACTCTGAACACTAGATGGCTCCATCTCAATGGGACCTTCACAAAAGTCTTCCCCTGAAATATGCTAATAACACTCTCAACTTCTATACACTTTCCTTCCCAGTCTGCTAACCACTTTCAGAGTCACATTTCATTTGCTTCAGAACCTCACTCTGAAAGGACAATGTCAGAGATTAGAACCCCATTTTCTAGATAAAGAAACAGACATTCAGGAAGGTGAAATGGCTTGCCTGAGGCCATTAAGAAACAGACATTCAGAGAGGTGAAATGGCTTGCCTGAGGCCACAGAACTGACAGAACCAGGTAGGAGGAGGCTGACCTACAATCTAGATGAAAAGTCAGGGCCTCCCCTGATTCTAAGAGACCTCAGTTTTGGGGGATTTAGATCACCTGCATCAGAATCATATGATTACAGGTGATTCATTTCATCTGTGAAAAACAGATTCCTAGCCCCTACCCAGATCCAATGAATCAGGCCAGCAATCTGTCATGGAAACATCACAGGAGGAGAAATAAAGGCAGAAACCAGGCTCTCACAGCAACAATAGCATGTAATTATTAACCTACTTGGCATGCATTATCATCTCAATTTACAAAGGAGGAAGCTGAGGCTTAGAGACGTAGTAGCTGAAGTGAGATTTGAACCTTAGTTTGTCATTTAAGTGAAATGCACAGCAGCTCCATTTTGCAGTCAGAAAGACCTGGTTTCTACCCTAGCGCTCTACACATAGGCATTTTTATGTCTTTGGGAAAGTAACTTCACCCCTATAAACCTCAATTTCTTCATCTGAAAATGAGAATAATAGTACCTACAACCTCATAGGGCTATCATGAGGATTAAATGAGATCATTCGTGTGCCTGGCACATGATTACAGTGCCTGGCACATGATAAGGATCTGTTATTACCATTTGGTTCCTGCCCTGAAAGAAAAATCACAAAGTCCAGGTACCAGGTCCTGCTTTCTTCGGATGTACTCTCTTTCTTCTCCATACACCCAAAGCACACTGCACATAAGGCCCAACTGATGCTGCTGACTGATCAAACCACCACCCTCCCTCAAACACAACACGTTTCCACAGCAAGACTGGAAACGTGACTCACAATTCCATTTGCACAAACTCCAATTCCACTAAATCTTATTCCATCCAAAGGTATGTACAGCTGGAAGTGAGCATTTCAGAAATAGAAACCTTTCTCTTGGGGCTTCACTCAAAACCAGAACAACACATTCCAAACACTAACCAAGTGGGAACCAAGGCTAAGAAAAAGTCCCATGGGATTTGAGGACATTAGGTAGGACCCTGCTATACGGGCCTTGCAGTACATTTAGCATCCTCTGGGACCGAGGGCTCACATCTCTCTTCCTTACCCTGGATCCCCAGTGCCTGGCACAAAGCATGACATGTAGCAGGTGCTCAGGGAACACAGCTGCACAGTAAGGCAACCCCTTCATCATCTCAGATACATCCCAACACCACAAGAGAATCACTCACATCCTTGACTACATGGTAAAAATAAGAATTTTCAACAGGACAGGTGCAGTTCTAGAGCACAGTGCCAAGAGAAACGTACAGCCTCTCCTGCCCTGTTTTTGGATGTTCATACTTTTCAATCTATGGAGCAAACTCACCTGGGAACAGCTGGTAAGCTACTCCAAAAACCACACTTTCTGACTTTCTTCCAGTTCCAGAATTACAGTCAAAAGACGGACAAGGAGAAGGAAAGTTTTTATCTAAGAGAAGCAGGACAGCACTGCTGGATTTTGTTTGAGCCCTGTGACAAGCTTCTAATATACCTACGATTTTAACCCATTCCCGTACTGCCCAATCTGAGTGGACTCAGGTGTTCGCTTGGCCGACTTTCCAAACTGGATCACACTGGCAGCATCACCTGAAAGGGCAGACACAAGAGAAAGTGAAAAGTTTGCATTTCTTTCCCGGGGTCCTCAAAGTCAAAGGTCTGAGCCTTGTTAAATCCAAGCAGGGTGTGTGTCTACTGAAAATCTCTCTCCAAGGAAATTCACTACCATGAAGCAAATGGAGGCACAGCTTTGCCTGGCCTGTCGATACCTCCATCACTGTGACCTATGTTCTATTTCCAGAATGTGGTAAGACAGCCAGGGGAGGCCTCCGTAGTTCCAGCTCGAGAATGTTGTGCAAGCTGATAAATACAACGCCAAGAGACAGGTAATCTGATTGACTTAAGATTGCCTTTCAGATCCTATCTTCCATGTTAAGACAAGACCTGGCAAATACATTAATAGAATTAAGCCTGAGATGTTGCAACAGACTTCTTACTCCCCAGGTAGATCTTCTAGACATAACATTGCAGGCAACAGAAAAACAAGTTCACATAATAAGTATTTTGTAAAAATGGTTACATCGCCACCCCTCCACCCCCCACACAAAACAACAATCTCATCACTTACTTGGATCCATTCCTGCTCCATCATCCAAAAAGCAAAGCATAAATCCTCCTCGAAGGTCCTCTCGTCTTTCTGTAAAAGAAGCAGCTGCCATTACTGGGCCATTACCCACGAGAGGGTAGCAACATGCCTATGATCAGAAGGCAGATCAATGTGAAGCTTGGTCCAAAAAGGTCAGGTCAAGCCTAAGCTTCTACACTAGTGTGAATTAAACTTCAGGGTCCTTAAGGTTGCAAATTCCCATCCAAGGTTCTCCAATGCTTTCTAGTTCATGACAAAGCTTGGGAGAATCTATGAAGGCAGGAATATCTGGTCTAGCATCTAATCACACCTGCCACCACTGAATATGCACATACCTCACACATATCTCAATCATCCTATCCTTCTGCTGGCTCCACCTGGATTACTATCACTTCTGCCCTATGCCATAGACCCCAAGCACTAAAGTACTCCAACTACTATACCCCGTACCTTATCAATACTGCTCAAACTCAACAGGATGCCTCCTTTGTGAATTAAGTCTGGGGTAGCCTTCAAAGTGATGAAACCAGACATGGTATGGGCACAGCAGTGGAAGCTGCTATCTAAAAGATGAAATACTGTGTCTATACATGACCATCCCCAGGTTGACTGGCATTCTGGGCTATCTGCATTTACTGTCATATCCCCTGCTAGCTATGGTCCTTGAAAGGGCTCCCAACCCAATAGTGAGAAGGCGCATGGTGCAGTGGGAGGTGCCTGGTTCCTAGCTGGACCTGCCTGATGGGAAGAGGGAATGGTCCTTTGACAGTAAGATGCACAGCAGCTGTGGCGGGGTTTCCTGGCCAACAGAAAAGGAACACAATAAACTATGGTTGCCATTCCAGGGAAAAGAACCTCTTCTCTGAGCAGTTCTCTTCTGCAGCAGCAAGTGGTAACTGAAAGTGGCCTGGGTCCAAGCATGTCATGGTCAATGGAGAAGCGATTCCCAAATATGGAAACAGGCTATACTAGTTTCCAAGGTGCCTTTTGTCCCAATGATGAGGACTAGGTGAGCAAAAGAGAAACCAGCCTTGGAATCAAGGAAGTTGGCAGACATGAAGAAGAGAAGGATGTGACGCAGAGGTATAGGCAGGAGACCCACACAAGCCAAGCAAGTCAACTTCCCATATAGATGCTGTTCAGTCTACTGACTGGCACGGGGACAAAGGTAGCATTTCTAAGAGGAAAGAGGTCTGTGTAAGGTACTACAGGGGTAAGCCCAAGGCTGCTCTGGAGCCTGGTCCCTGATGATTTTTTAATCTCCCCCAAGCTTCAGTTCACCAATTTTGTACAACTATCTAAGCTGAGAAATCTGTTTTAAATGCTCTTTGTCCTTTCTTCAGGCTAAAAATTCAAGTGAGTAGGGACGGTCCCCTGTTAAACAGACTATTAACGTAAATTAAAATGCTAAAATGCCTTTTTTTTTTTTTTTTTTTTGAGATGGAGTCTTACTCTGTCACCCAGGCTGGAGTGCAATGGCATGATCTCAACTCACTGCAACCTCTGCCTCCCAGGTTCAAGCGAGTCTCTTGCCTCAGCCTCCAGAGTAGCTTCAGCAAGGCTATAAACCACAGAGATTTTCAAGTACCACTCAGTGTTCAGGAAGCTGAACATTAATCACAAGTGCTTCTTGAAAGTACAAGGGTGAGGATCTTCCTGGAGGTACTATTGGTTAGATAAAATTTATCCTGGTGGCAGTGCCTCTAATCAGAGTTTGGAGAATCCAAATGAGATGTGGCAATCAAGAACAAGTACACTAAAAGTCCAAAAAGCTTCAAAATTTCCATCTGGAGGACACCAAGTGTCATATGGAGACTCAAACTGGGTCAGATACAGAGAATGGTAAAAGCAGCATTCTAAACCTAGCCAAGAGCCATTTGCGGTACACTACAGTCATAAAATGTGCATGAAGACTCTGCTTTGGGATCTAGAAATTGATTCAAGCGAAGCACCTCTGAAAAGTTCCAAGGACTACTGGCATTCTTTGGACACTGCCTAAGAAGTTACTTTCTAGGCCCTTGTGTTAGGACAGAACTCTCAGGCTGCTTTAGCACACAATCATCACTTAACAGTGGGGCTGGCATCCTTTTCTGGCTCAAGGACTTCATTTCAAAGCTTTTTTGTGTAGTTTAAAGGCTTAAGAGATGACACTAGGGGGATCCTCCTGGCTACATAGTATAACTGACAGCCTGTAAATGGCTAGTAGTGTCTAGGTCCATGGTCACATGCAATACTGCCTCAGGAACAAGACTAAGACAGCATTGACTTCTTCAACTGTAAACAGACAGTGTGGTCTCTTCACCTTGTTCTAATGCTTACGCCAATCACTTGTTTATTTAATGACTACTTAAGTGATCAGCTCTTCTGTGCCTGGTTATGAGGAGGACATGGGCAGTGAATAATACAGATGGGATCACTGTCTTCACAGAGCTTACAGTCTAATGGATTCTACTGCCTGCAGCAGATAAGCTAGGAAGTAAAGGAGAGGGGGGTTTAAGCTGAAGGAAGCTGAGAAAAGTATTGGCTAGAGCAAAATGTAGTATGGCTAAGAATTATCCAAAGAGCTTGTGAAAATACAGATTCTGGGCTCCCCTTGGAGAGTCTAGGTAGGTCTGAGGTGGGGCATTTGCATTTCTAACAAGTTCTAAGACGATATTGACAACGTCCGTGGGTGGACCACCCTTTGAGAAGCACTAAACTAGAGCAAGCAAGAACTTGAAGGCTTCCTTGCTCAAAACTATCTCCTCATATATTCCACCATAGAGAAAGATTCCTATCACCTGATATTTAATCAGTCAACTAAGTGATATCTGAAGCCTCCAAAGATAAAGGAGGGGGAATTCTGGATGAAGAAGAGTCTAAACAGCTGGAGGTTGTATGTTCCCTGCCTCCCATCACACATCTTGAAAGCAAGACAGAGAAGGCAAAGCCGAACTGCCTGCTTTGCAGTTGTGCTTCATATCCTGGGAACAGCTCCGTAAGACTGTCAGAGCCAATCTGAAAGTCTGTACATCTCCCAACATGGCCAAGTCTGGCTTCTCCAAGCCAGACATTCCTCATCGAACTCCCCCTGGGAAGAATAAAGAAAGAAAGCAGGAAAAGACAAGAGATGTCAAATGGAGCTATACATCCAAAAGTCAAAGGTGATAAAATAATGGTGTCCCTAGGAGAGGCTGTAATAAAATGACATCCAAGTTTTTCGTCATACTCTGCAATCTGTTTGAGCAGTATTAATTGCAGTTTCATTTGCTCCAATTTTCCATGTGTTAATCATTGCCCTGGCATCACAAAAAGGATCTTTCTTCCAAGGAGGTGGCACTACCTACCCCAGAAGGTCAAGAAAGTCAACAAAAACAGTCTGCTTATGACAGGCATATTATGGTCTATAATAATAATAATCCAACTAATAATAATACGCTTTGGGTAAATGAACACCTCTACACTTTGAGAGGCTGGCTCCTTTTTTGCCCTTTTTAGGTTTAAAAACAGTCCTTAAAATGTGACTTTGTGGTAACTTCAAACTACATCTGATGTTTGGGAAGATTTCCAAGTCCAAGTTATCAATTTAGTTTCAGAAGTGGAGATAAGAAAATACTTTCCCCCGTGAACTACCAACAAGAACTTTATAGTATTAAGATTATTACTGGCCACGCGCATTGGCTCAGCCTGTAAGTCCAGCACTTTGTGGGGGGCCGAGGCAGTCGGATTACTTGAGCTCAGGAGTTTGAGACCAGCCGGGGCAACATGGTGAAAAAATATGTATATAAAAATTAACCAGGCATGGTGGTGTGCGCCTGTAGTTCCAGCTGCTCGGGAGGCTGAAGTAGGAGGATCACTTGAGCCCGAGAGGCAGAGGTTGCAGTGAGCCTAGATAGCACACTGCATTCCAGCCTGGGTAAAAAAAAAAAAAAAAGATTCCACTGATGATTTATTTCTCCTGTTGAATGTGTTAATAAGGCCCTGTCGTAGAAAAGTGTAGGGTTAAAGATCCCTCAGCCAAGAATCCCAGTCTCCTGGTACTTGAAGTAAATCAAGTCTTTTTCCAAAATGCTAGGGTGCTTAGTGCTTCTATCACACCATTTAATCCTTAACTGTCTTGACTGTTCCCTCAAGATCTAGTTATTGTTCTCCAATTATCTGTAGTGCACTAATTGTCTCTCCAATTAAAGACTAAGTTCTTAAAGCAAAGACCCCCATCTCATCCTCCCTGGACTTTTCCCAAAGCATAACAGGAGTTGTACTGAGCACACAATAAAGACACTGGGTCCTTTTCATTTAAATTGAGATCCAACTTCATTCTGAGTGTCAGGAACTAAATTTCCTTACTGAAATTCACCCACCAAGTGTAGTAGGAGAGAGCAGAGATGATCTTTTTTTAAAAAACGTCTTCCAAGAAGACTTGACTGTTATGATTTGTACCTTCAGCATCACTTGAAGAAGAGGCCCATTCTCTGCTTTATCATCTGTGCATTGATTAAATGAGCCCCATTTTTCCAGCGGTAGCTGTTGCCACTCCTGAGAAAGCACACTCAGATGTAAGATACAAGCTTTAGCTTGGAAAGGCACCTCCATCTGGCCTGAGCACTTTTTAAATTTTTTTTATTTTTTTATTTTATTTTATTTTTTTTGAGATGGAGCTTCACTCTTGTTGCCCAGGCTAGAGTGCAATGGTGCAATCATGGCAACCTCCACCTCCTGGGTTTAAGTGATTCTCCTGCCTCAGCCTCCCAAGTAGCTGGGATTACAGGCATGTACCATTATGCCTGGCTAATTCTGTATTTTTGGTAGAGATGGGGTTTTCCCCATGTTGGTCAGGCTGGTCTCAAACTCCCGACCTCAGGTGTTCTGCCCACCTCCGCTTCCCAAACTGCTGGGATTACAGGCGTTGAGCCACCACGCCCAGCCCTGGCCTGAGCATTTAGTAATCATCTTCTAACATTCTTTACCTATGTGCCCCTATTTCCTGTTACTTTCTTCTAGAAAGAAAAGAAGCCTTATTTTCACCACTTTGGCGGAGCATTTTGAACAAAAGGCTTTCAGAATTGAAGCAGTACGGCTGACTTTTAGCTGCTCTGAGGATTTTCTTTGCTCCAAAGTATAGCAGACATGAGAAATTCATCAAATCTGGAGCAGATTCTTCATAATTATATGACATTAGTGGTTCTGAGAATTACTACTTAGTTGTGTGCTTGTTCCCATTCATCAAAAGGGTCCATGAGAGGGGTTATTTCATTCCCATATAAACATACACACTTTTCAGAACCTAGTCCATGCTACTCAAAATATCACCTCACACATTTCAGAGGATTTCAAAAAAGTCTGTCAGAAAAAAAACACATCATACAAGTCAAACTGTATTTAAAAGCTGTCTTCCGGCCAGGTGTGGGTGGCTCACGCCTGTAATCCCAGCACTTTGGGAGGCCGAGGCGGGCAGATCACCTGAGGTCAGGAGTTTGAGACCAGCCTGGCCAACATGGTGAAACCCTGTCTCTACTAAAAATATAAAAAATTAGCTGGGCGTGGCGGTGGGTGCCTGTAATCCCAGCTACTTGGGAGGCTGACACCAGAGAATCGCTTGAACCTGGGAGAAGGAAGTTGCAGTGAGCCAAGATGTGCCACCACACTCTAGCCTGGGCGACTGGGTAAGACTCCCTCTCAAAAAAAAAAAAAAAAAAAGCTGTCTTCCTCCATTCTGCTTTCAAATTTTTAGTATTCAAATGAGTAAAAAAGGTGCCAGTACAAATACCAGGCAGAAAGCAAACTATTAAAATTAATTAGTTAATTAATTAATTAAAAGGCCAATGACTGTTGCACTTACTCTAGGAAAAGGAGAAGATCTTACTACAAAACAGCAGAGCCAAATAAGCAAAATGAAATAGGATGCTGACAGGTGTAAATTCCAAGCCAAGCAGCCTTCCTTCCTGACACCTCTGAGAACAACTCAGCAAACCTCAGAGCCAATCCAGTTACTGGTATTTGCTGCAACTGATACCAGCAATTCTCCAAGTTGAGACGAGTGCTCACCAAGAGTTCAAAACAAAGTGGCCTCCAACAAGATCTCTCCTTGGCTGCCGGTACCACAAACCTCATTCACCTATTAACTCCCACCAGTAAAATAACTTAGTCATTTCACTCTCTACTGTTCTACTCCATCACTTCCATAACTCTACCGATAGCTATTTGCACAGATTTGGATACCTTGTGTTAGTTTCTCGAAATTAGTATTCTTGGTTTCTATGCCTGACCAGAGTTGACCATACCTGACTACGGCTGCCCCTTTTCTACCTATGACCTGGAATAATCATGCCATCTTCCCAGGCTCCAGAATCCAGTTATTTCCAACTTGATTCTTCTTAGGCACAGTAATAAATGCATTAAGATGAACTAGACATTAGAAGGACTAAAGCCTGACTTACCTGCATAAATATCTATTCTGGTGGCATCAGCATCTCTGCAAAGTTAAAAGAATCACGTGAATTAATATGAAATATCAACCATCAAAATGCATAGTGATTTGAGTAGAATGCAGAGTATTTCGAGTCTGTTTTCAGGAAGCCATACAGAAATTCTATATACATTTAGAATTTTTTTACTTTTATACTTGACAACACAATTTTCTTTATATACTTGTAAAACATTTCCAAAGCCCCAAATTACTATAATCACATGACATGGGGCCTGGATATTTTTTTTTAATCCTGATTTTGTGGTAAAAACATCTATAGGATAATCAAGAATATTTCCCTTTATACCCTAAAAAATGATTCAAATATATGTTTTTCTCACTCATTTGATTGCAATCATAAAAAGATGTTCCAATAACTTGTCCATTTTTTCTTCTCAAGATTTTAAGAAAAAAGGAAAACAATAATCTCCCACAAAACCTGTGAAAAATCATCTCGTGGTATACCACCGCAGTCAGCAGACCAATTCCTGAGCCCATAATCTTAACCTCCCTAACCTTAAAAGGAAGCTGGGATACCCCTGCCCCATTAGACTCCAACCATTGGCTGAAGTCATACAGATTTAGTTATCAATGAAGACTTCCATAAAGGCTCAGAAGTAATTTAGTCCAATTCTGCCAATGCAGGCGAAGAAAATGAAACCGTTTCATTGGTTTTACGTGCAAAAAATCCGTGCAGCTCTACATATACCTATTCTCGAATATCTAAAACATTTTCAAATATGAGAGATACTGGCCAAATGTATACACAAGTAGGAACACGTACTTCTAAGAATCTCTATTTTACCATATGATACACAAAAAAGCAGCCTGCCACCGCACATCATGGTCTCACTAAATTAACAAGTGGCAAATTCAAACATAGTTCCATTAACCTATATTTTTTAATTGAATGGAAAAATGACGAGTCAACCAGGATTGAAACAAAATGGGAGTTTTCTGGTTAAACAACTAGCACACTTCCATGAGCAGTCGAGCTAATAACAATAACAAAAGTAATTAGAATAAGTTTATTGTATAGACAGAGGTAAACAGGAAATTATCAGCAAGCACATTAACTGGAGATCTGTTTGAAAGTACTTCTGCTGTCAATTTTCATCCTCTTCTTCCTTCATTAGTCATCAAAACCTGGTCAGTAAATGATATGTCTGAATTTTACATTTGCATTCAGGAGTAAGACTGAGACAATATTTTCCTAATTATAAACAGAATCTTGATATGGACTTGGATTTATATCAGAATTAACCCAAACTTCTATTCAGTCTTACACAGTAACATTTATATGTTTCTATCACTAAGAACTCAGTATAAGACAGTGCTGACCAATGATTCCTTCCAAGCACAGCTGCTAACAATGAAAGACACTGTGATCATTTAGTTATCTGACAAACACACAATTTGAGAAGACACAGAACTTTAGCATAGTTTTAAAGACATTAGATGGTGTACTATCCTGGTAGCACAAATTAAATCAGAGCCTGCCTGTCCCATTAATATGATTCCTAAGTGTCCATCTTAATTCCCTGCATTTTACTACAATTATCTTGCTCTAATACACAAGGGAAGTGGTTTTGGAGGTGATAATTCACTATTTTTAGGCTAGAATACAAAGAACAATTAGTGAATTTAAGTAAGAAAGTGGAAGTTATCAAGCAATGTGCTATTAAAAATATTTTTTTTCAGTAAGAGGCCTCTTAGGAGTTACAGAATGTCTACATGCTACAGAAATGTCTTCCTCTCAAGTCTTCAGAAAGCAAAGGTCACAGCTACCTAAAGTGTTTCCACTTCAAGCACAGATTGTATGCCTGAAGACTACATACCTTGCATTATCAACCAGTTCAGCAAGAGCACCAAACAAGAATTCATGAGTGGTTCTGAAATGATAAATACTAAAAGTCAGCAAAAGAATTATGAGTTGAAGTTATAATTCCTAATAAAAAGCCATGGTTATACAATATTTGTTTTTTGAAAAAATCTTAAAACCACCATTCACATTGTTGATTTATAGTACTCAAGGCTTTCCAGAGCTCCCAAAGTGTTAATCTTTATCAAGTCCTGCCATCTATTCAGAAATGTTTATTCTTCCTATTTTGAGTTGGGAAACCCACCCTGAAGCATTGAGAGAGTCCTACGTGTAGTAACTGCTAAAAGTGTTTTTCACTATTCATATTCTGCCTAGAAAAATGCCTGTATATTTTATTTTTCATTGCCTTAACCACTGGTCAGTTTCTGTGTATCTCAGAGCAAGAATTGTAAGGATATATCTTATGCAGACATATTGAATTTTTTGTTTTTTCTTTGAGACAGGTTCTCGTTCTTGTCACTCAGGCTGGAGTATAGTAAGTTTTGAATAACATGGTTAACTGTGTATTTACTCAATCCAAACTTTAAGCAGCCTCCCAGAGGAGATGACCACTGGTTCCCCTCCTTGAAGGGGTTAATGTTAACAGGGGCCCTAGGTGACCACACCAAGCAAGTTCCTGTCATCCTAGAAGGAATTGTTGGAAAAGGTCTTGGATTACTTTCTTTAATGGAGAGAATGTTCTGGTTTAGTCAAAATCTGAGAAAGTCATAAAATCAGTTATTCTCTTTTCCTTCTCTTTCAAATGGGATATTTTTGCTTATAAATTACACAAAAGTGTATCAGTTTCCTTTTTTCACTTGTAGATGACACACAAGTATTGGTAAAACAAAATGCTAACAAGTTATACATTGAGCATGTGCAATTTATACTGTTTAATTTGTGGTCTTTTCCACAACAGTCCTCATGAGATATCAAATTAGGATGTGTCCACATAGAATCACCTAAAAAAAAAAAACTTGACTTTTGATTAGAGAAAATACAAAATTAACCCATATAATACATGACCATCAATTTTAAAATATCCATGTTACTCCAACTTTTTTTGCATAGAGTTTCAGCCAAAGTAAAAAGTTTAAGCCAATTTTCAGTTAAAGTAAAAATTTTAAAATGAAATATATCAATATTAAATAACCAGCATCTAGGATCTCTAATCACTTACCATACTGTAAACAAAATGTAAAACATTTATTAAATATCCATAACTAAACTCTCCAGGAATATTGTTTTTTCCTCCTCAAGTAACTCCAAATTTTTCAAATGCAATTTTTTATTTTATTATTATTCTTTTTTTGAAACAGAGTTTTGCTTTTGTTGCCCAGGCTGGAGTGCGATGGCTCGATCTTGGCTCACTGCAACCTCCACCTCCCGGGTTCAAGTGATTCTCCTGCCTTGGCCTCCAGAATAGCTGGGATTACAGGCATGCACCACCACACCTGGCTAATTTCATATTTTTAGTAGAGAGGGGGTTTCACTATGTCGGCCAGGCTGGTCTCAAACTCCTGACCTCAGATGATCTGCCTGCCTCAGACACCCAAAGTGCTGGGATTACGGACCTGAGCCACCGCACCCGGCCTACAAATGCAAATTTTGAATTAAGCTATCACTTAATGGAATTATAGGAAGACCTTTCCCCCCGAAGATCAGTGAATATATATGTTGCTAATCCAAAGGCAACACTGATAAATATGCTATAACCAAAAGAAATTTTATCATCAATTCACCTAGGAAATAAGAGCTCAAATTCTTCTGGATAAAATCTAATTAATTATACTACATGGAAAAGACAGATTTCTTATTTTTTTTTTTTTTTGAGATGGAGTTTTGCTCTTGTTGCCCAGGCTGGAGTGCAATGGCACAATCTCTGCTCACTGCCACCTCTGCCTCCCAGGTTCAAGCGATTCTCCTGCCTCAGCCTCCTGAGTAGCTGGTATTACAAGCATGGGTCACCATGCCCAGTTAATTTTTTTGTATTTTTAGTAGAGATGGGATTTCTCCATGTTGGTCAGGCTGGTCTTGAACTCCGAACCTCGGGTGATCCACCCGCCTTGGCCTCCCAAAGTGTTGGGATTACAGCCGTGAGCCACTATGCCCAGACGGTAAAGACAGATTTCTAAAAAAAAAAAAGTGCATAAAACAGCCATATGGTTTTTTTGTTTTGTCTCACTGTGTTGTCCAGGCTGGAGTACAAGCAGTGCGATCTCGGCTCACTGCAACCTCCGCCTCCAGGGTTCAAGCAATTCTTCTGCCTCAGCCTACTGAGTAGCTGGGATTACAGGCGCCTGCCACCGTGCCCGGCTAACTTTTTAAATATTTTTAGTAGAGACAGGGTTTCACCAAGTTGGCCAGGCTGCTCTTGAACTCCTGACCTCAGGTGATCCACCCGCCTCAGCCTCCCAAAGTGCTGGAATTACAGGTGTGAGCCACCGTGCCCGGCCCATATGTTTAATTATTTAAAACATCTGTCTTGTGCCCCCTCAGTAAAAATTTAAAAAAAAAAAAATTAAAGAACAAAAAATATTTATGTCTCTAGAATTATCACTTTAAATTCTTCAAATTACCAACTGAATAAACAAAAAGTATTCTGTAAACTACCCCACCAAATAGGGAGAAATAAGCTTAAAAATTAAGGTGACTTGCCAAAGGTAATGTTGGTTAAAAGTGAATCTAATATTGGTTCTCAAACTTTCAACCAGTCATTTTCCTATCAAATGTTGAAGTGACTTAGAAACTTACAAAGTGAATTCATTTTATATACCCTAAATATTTTTAATTTTGAGGATTGTTATATAGAAATATAAAATAACCAATTTTATCCCAATACTTCTCATTTCAACATGAGTTTGTACTTTTAATGTAAATCAAGGAATCTCAAAAACACAGCTACCAGAAAAACACAAGAGCACAACCATAGTAAGCATGAGACCACATCTTGCATCAGAATGTACTAACTTCAGAATAAATAATGAAGTTTCCAGTCTTTGGCAGTGAGAATGGTCAATATGAATAATCTGGAAAACTAATTTTGATACCCTCTGCCATTAGGACAAGAAAACCAAAACAGAAATCGCAACTGCTTCTTAGCAATACATATTTTCTGATAGCATCCCACAAGAATGAGAAATTTAGAATCAAATAAGCAGATCTCAAAAGGGCAAGCACAAAGCACCTGCCACACAGTGCTCGGAAATGTGCCTTGCATAGTGGTTCACACCTACAATCCCAGCACTTTGGGAGGCTGAGGTGGGTGGATCACCTGAGGTCAGGAGTTTGAGACCAGCCTGGCCAACATGGTGAAACCCTGTCTCTACTAAAATTACAAAAAAAATTATGTGTGGTGGCAGACACCTGTAATCCTAGTTATTTGGGAGGTTGAGGCAGGAGAATTGCTTGAACCCGGGAGGCGGAGGTTGCATGCAATGAGCTGACATTGTGAGATCGCGCCATTGTACTCCAGCCTGGACAAGAAGAGCAAAACTCCGTCTCAAAAAAAAAAAAAAAAAAGAAAAGAAACAAAGAAATGTGCCTTGCATATTTAGAGCTTTCAAAAAATTCTAAATGGGCAGGGTGCAGTGGCTCACACCTGTAATCCTGGCACTTTGCCCAGGCCAGCAGATGCCTTGAGCCCAGGAATTTGAAACCAGCCTGGGCAACAGGGCGAAACCCCCATCTCTACAAAAAGTAAAATAAATTAGCCAGGTGTGGTGGTGTACACCTGTAGTTCCAGCTACTTGGAAGGCTGAGGTGGGAAGATGGGTTGAGCCTAAGAAGTGAAGGTAGCAGTGAGCCAAGATCGCGCCACTGCACACCAACCTGGGTGAAAGAGCCAGACCCTGTCTCAAAAAAAAAAAAAAATTCTAAATGGTCTTTGCTGTTCCACACAGTCTCAGTGCTGTTCCATGCATACATATTTCAGATAAGCTAATAGTACCCTTTACAATGTAGCCAAAGGGTACTTTTGTGATGGTAGTATGTACCATAAAAAAGGGCTTTTGTGATCACTGTTGGTAAAGTCAGAGATAATACTCAGAATCTCTTCCAGACCTCCAACTGATTAAAGATAGATCTTCTAGATGCTAAAATCGAGTTCTAAATATTTCTTAAAATCGTAAGAATCAAAATTATACCAACTGCATAAATTCTTCTTTCCCAAATAACATTCCAAGACTATACTCATTGCTAGCTAGCATTTGGGATAGAATAAATATCAAAATTCTTTTCTTCACAGACCTAAACATCCTTTGCATGTGATCCAATAAAAGTCAACTGGAAAAAGACAAAGATTTTTTGAAAATGTGTTCACTTTCAACTGATTACGGCTTTTTTTTTTTTTTTTTTTTTTTTGAGAGATGGAGTCTTGCTCTGTTGCCCCGACTGGAGAGAAGTAGCATGATCTCAACTCACCACAACCTCTGCCTCCTGGTTCAAGCGATTCTTCTGCCTCAGACTCCCGAGTAGCTGGGATTACAGGCAAAAGCTACCATGCCCAGCTAATTTTTTGTGTCTTTAATAGCAATGGGGTTTCACCACGTTGGCCAGGCTGGTCTAGAACTCCTGGCCTCAAGTGATCCGCCCGCCTCAGCCTTCCAAAGTGCTGGGATTATAGGCATGAGCCACTGCGCCTGGCTGATCACGGCTTTTATATCACTTGTGTCACAGTATAGTTTGCAGCTTAGCATTTCCAGGGACAAATTCACGTGTAAATTAGCTTGTTATGTAAGGAAAATGGTCTCCCTATTTATACTCATCCTGAATGTAAACCAATAGATCATCCATAGGCCCATCACACAGTGATAGCTTCTGCTAAAATCCTAGACGTGCTGACAATAGTTAATTGCCTTAATTGCTAGAAAATAAAGCTAAGAAATTCTGGAGCAACCATTTTACATTTAAACGGCTTTAATATATTTAAGGTATGAGCTTACTCAACAGGCTTAAAGTAATAAGTAAGCTAAGCCTCTGAGTTGCCAGGCTCCTCTACATTCACTTCACATACCCATAAAATTCAGAAATAGGGCCGGGTGCGGTGGCTCACATCTGTAATTCCAGCACTTTGGGAGGCCGAGGCAGGCAGATGATGAGGTCAAGAGATCGAGACTATCCTGGCTAACACAGTGAAATCCCGTCTCTACTAAAAATACAAAAAATTAGCTGGGTGTGGTGGCACACGCCTGCAGTCCCAGCTACTTGGGAGGCTGAGGGAGGACAATCGCTTGAACCCGGGAGGCAGAGGTTGCAGTGAGCTGAGATGGTACCACTGCACTCCAGCCTGGGTGACAGAGCAAGACTCCATTAAAAAAAAAAAAAAACAGAAATATATGCCCAAGATGTTAAGTGACTAAATGTGCCAACAAAAATAAATAGCAGACATCTTATATCTAAGCATCCTGCTCTATCAGACCACTTAGCAGTACTGCAAACAAGGTGACTTAATATACCCATCTTATGCCAAAGGAACATCACTACCCCCACTACATCTGAAGTAACAGTCACAAAACCCACCACCAAAGAGAAGTAACAGCATAAAACTCCTTTTACTTAAAAACCCTAACTTTTATCATCTCATACTAGCAACATCTGATACTAAATTAGCTCAAGACTTTCAGGTTATCATGAGAATTTATTTCCCAGGCCTGCGTTAAGCCTTATAAAGCTGATGTAACCAAGAGAATAACCATCAAAAGTTATCAAAGACCTGATACAAAAAAAAGAGAGATGTTGTCTCCAATAGATGCTCCAGAATTTACTAAGAACTGATCTGCCTAATGACTAGCACCAAACAAGTTGCCACCACACTGACCAACTTCTGGTTTATATAAACTAATATTATAGAGTAACACTCACCATTCACACAATGTTTACTGTGTATCACCGTATGAGCTAAGAACTTTATAAACATCATTTTACATAATCCTCGTAAAAACTGTCAGATTAGCCCCATTTTATAGATGAAGAAACTGAGATTCAAGAAGTTGACCTGCCCAAAGACAGAGCCAGGAAACAGTCAAGTCCAGGTTTGGCTGGTTTGCAAGCACATGGTCTTTTCACTGCACTACATTGATTTCCACCCTGCTCGTCTGGTCACTGCTTGTAAGTCTACATTAAATGATGAGTAAGCAAAGGACCATTTATTTCCTAATTCACAATACTGTACATGTCAGACACCATGAAATGGTCTCGTGTTCCTAAGATTTTAACAGAACAAAGGAGAAGACAGAGACAAATCTTCCCTTCTCTGAAAATGACTTATTGAACCACTTTACACAGAGGTGGTTCATCTTTCATCTTTATGAGCTACAAGTCACCTCATGTGAGAATTTTAAAATTTATTTTCTGTATAAATGAACTTTCAATTAGGTCACCACAATGTTTTAAAAATCTCCTGAAATTAGAAATAAAAAACTTATCTTGTTGGTTTAGGGTTTATACTTTCTTCTGGTAGGACTAATACATCAAAAAGTAGAACAACTTCTAAGGTCGAATTTGTGATCCAGGTAAGAAATTCCAGAGCTTCCAAAATGATACTCCAACCCTCAAATGTTCATGCAAGCAGGTGGTTCCAATTCAACATGGGTAAGTCAAAGTCCCAGAAAATTCCCCAACTTAAAACAAATGACTTAACTGGTTTCTTTCTTTTCCTTGGCACTGCCAAGTATCTATCATTAATAAACTATAAAATAGCAAAGGGGAAAAAAAGAAGGGAGAAATATCCCAGAGTCCTTAGAGGTTCATTGAGATAAACTAAAATTGAAGACTTTCAAACTGTGAAGTAAGCCCTTTGCTTTACAGTCAAGCAAATAGGCTCTTGAAGGTAAAACTGACTAAAGTAGGCACTGCCTAATGGTTAAAAGCACCAACTATGGTAGTCAGATAAATCTTACTGACTTAAATGTTGGCACCGTTTAAGTCTGCCACTTAGCAGCTATATAGCCATTACCATGTAATTTAATCTCTTTGAACCTCAGTTTCCTCAAATACAAAATAGGAATAATCCTTACCCCAAAGGCTTCCTGTAAAGATTGCTTTGGACAATGTTTAAAATAGTGACTGGCATGAAGCAATTAACTGTTGTTACTATTATCATCCCATAAAGTCTCTGGTGAAGCTGGAACAAGAACTCAAATTCTGAAGTCCAGTTCATGGTCTTCCAAGATTATCATAAAATCTGTAATTCCAGACTTGCCATCATTCCAAAATTCAGAGCTGAGATAACCATTTATCAAACACAGTCATCCAGGAACATTTAAGTGTCCTTCAACTGCTTGTTCTTAATATGGCAGTTCAAATATTAAAAAGGACACTAAAGGTTTTTCCCAAGGCTATGCTAGCTGAATAATCACTAATCAGCAACCTCACCTAACTGTGTTTCAGGGCCATCATACTTAAGTGTGAGAATTCAGCCTAGGTGACTGCTACAGGCCGGCCATGGTGGCTCACGCCTGTAATCCCAGCACTTTGGGAGGCCAAGGCGGGTGGATCACCTGAAGTCAGGAGTTTGAGACCAGCCTGGCCAACATATAGTGAAACCCCATCTCTACTAAAAAAAATACAAAAATTAGCTGGGTGTGGTGGTGCATGCCTGTAGTCCCAGCTACTTGGGAAGCTGAGGCAGGAGAATCGTTTGAACCTGGGAGGTGAAGGTTGCAGTGAGCTGCACCACTGCACTCTAGCCTGGGCAACAGAGCAAGACTCCGTCTCTCAAAAAAATAACAAACTTCCTAAGCAAAATAAGACCAGGCTCTCACCATTTGACAATTTGCTTCACTACGTGGCAAAATTTTATTCCCTTTAAAGGAAAAATAGCAAAAATATTACAGACATTATGGTATCACAAACATGTTGTCTTTTCCATAAAAAGCTAAAAACCATTGTACTATTACTACATAATGGAAGTCTATACTCTCCTCTGAAGGGGGTTCTTCAGAGACTGGACCATTCATGTAGCTGCTCATCTCCTCTCCAGGTACTAGAATGGTAGAACACTTACCTTCATCTCAAAAGTAACAGGTGAATGTATTTAAAACACTAAAGAAGTTTTGACTCTACTGGACAACCTCCAAGAGAGTGGGCATTATGGATTAAACCTGCAACATTTCAGACCATGTTGGAGTGATGAGATTACTCCTTCATGAACTCAAGAACCATGAACACTGGTTTCTGTGGAAATTCTGGGGAAAGACTATCTAAATCGAGATATAAACAAGTTGTCGTTTCCTGCTTAGCATATACAAATAACATTGGATGTAGGGAGCACTTTGCCAGGAAGATAAAGCCAACTGCTGAAAAAATAAAAATTTTCTTCTTGAAAGTTGTCATTTAAATGTCTTCTGTTTTCTTGTTAGAAAGTAAATACTTGCTATAAACCTGTTTAGGACGTTGTCACTAGAGAGGGGAAACGGTTGATACTAAAATAGTCCAACACTTGGCGATCCAATAGAGTAGTACTTGTTGGATTCCTATAAACACTTGAATGAAACAACTCAACATATTGACTTCAAATAACTAAAGTTTGCATTTAGAAAATTTTGATCCAATAAACAAAAATCAGATTCTTCTGGATTAGCAACTAGTATTTCACTGATCTCAGTTCTTCAATACAGAGCTCAAGATATCCAGTGATACATTTCACTCCAGTGGGATACATCTCAAAAAGCAAAAAAGCAAAATTTTCTGGGGAAACGATTTCCATATAATATCACGGAACGAGTTACTGGTTACCTCAGTGGCACCTAAAGGATACTTACGAATTTGTGTGCAGATATTCAAAGGTTAGCTGGGCTCGATTCAGACTGCTGTAATTTGTGAAAGCCATGACTGCAATGAGGTCTCCACTAACTGGGAAATATAACCTTATAATGAAATCAGTTTCCCAGGATTCCGTCCAGTAAAGCTTCAGTAAGTCTGTGCTCCTTAATGACAGTTAAAAGTAACCTAGTAACTATCCAAAATATATGCAAAGAGATGTTTAAAACTACAATTCCTTCAAGTGTTTTTTTTAATCTTCTCAATGATTACGATGTAATATTTTGGAAGGAACTATGTCATAAATCTGTAGTTTTAAGGAGCTTTTAGCATTAAGTTGTGATAGCTCAATTCAGACAATCTGAGTCTCGTGCGGATGGTCCTGAAGGAGATGGTCCTTGAGTGGGCGGTTTATGACTGCTCCATCTTCATGTTCTTCGAGCCTTTTTTGGTTCCCTGAAATTTCCTGTCAGGAAATTTACCAATCCGGAAATTTACCCACTTCTGTCAGAAAACTGATCAGCCATGTCTTCGCCACACGTGATGCCAGGATTCTTAAACAGGCCCAAGACCGGCGACCAAGATCTCGATGGAGTGTTATACGGCGCAAGTCGCAGCTTCACCACCTCCCAACTGAAAAAGTTCCTAGGCACTGACGACTTCTTTTTTCAAAGCCTTCTTTTTTCAAAGCCTGACCAAACCCAGTTCAGGGTGGGGGTCAGATTACCTCACACTTGGCCCACAAAAACACCTCACAAATGACCCGCCCACAGCACCTCGGGCAGGCCGCGCCCTGCCCCCACGTCCCTCAGACAACAGCCTCAGCCTCCCAGGCCCTTCCCGGGCCTCGGTCCCGTGGCAGCCTCCTCACGAAGAGGAGCTACTCCCGGTTTTCAAGGACCGGATCGAGGGCAGTGGCGAGCGCACCACCTGACCGGGCACTACCCGGATTTCACAACTGCCTTTGTCCCTCCCCGCGGAATTGGAACCCAACAGCCGCAGCGCGCTCTTGGAACCATGTGCTGCTGCTGCCGCCTCCGCCGCCGCCGCCGCTGCCTCCGCCGCCGCCCGCGCGCCGCGCTAGATGAGATGGTGACAGGACTCAGCAACACGAAATTCGGCGTTTAGAGCTGTTCTGCCGCCGCCGTCACAGACACCACAGACACCGCTTTGTCTCCGCTAGTGCACACAGCCCCGGCCACCTCGCACACTCCCCGACGCCCCAAGCCCCCGAGGCCTCAGCGGAGCATTCAGCCAATCACAAAGCTGCAGCTCCTCCCGCCCCCGCCCTGATGTACAGCCTCCTGATTGGCGGACTGCGTGTCCCCATGTGACCGGATCTTGGTTGGCCGGTCCCGCCCCTGTCACGTGAGAGCGTGAGCCTCTCTTCCTGCTTTCCTGACCCTCTCCGCCATTTAAAGAAACAGTACCGGGGGCGGGCCGAGCGACGCAGCCGGGACGGTAGCTGCGGTGCGGACCGGAGGAGCCATCTTGTCTCGTCGCCGGGGAGTCAGGCCCCTAACTCGAAGAAGCCCTGGCGCGCCCTCCCCCCCTCCCGGGTCTGGTAGGGCGAAGGAACGGGCGTGCGGTCGATCGAGCGATCGGTTGGCGGCTCTTTCTCCTGCTCTGGCATCCAGCTCTTGGGGCGCAGGCCCGGCCGCCGCGGCGCGCGCCCGGTGGCCGTTGGCGCTCGCGCCGCGTCTTTCTTCTCGTACGCAGAACTCGGGCGGCGGCCTATGCGTTTGCGATTCGACGAGGAGTCGTCCGGGTGGTCGGCGGCGGCGGGCAGCTGCTCCGCCCCGCTCCGGGGGAGGCGGCGGCGGCAGCGGCCGCGGGATTTGGAGCGGCCGGGGAGGCGGGGGTGGCCGGGGCCGGCTTGGAGGCCTGGCGCCACCCTTCGGGGCCTGCAAGGACCCAGTTGGGGGGGCAGGAGGGGGCCGGAGGATGGTTGGTTGTGGGATTTCTACTTTGCCTTTTCCTTCTTATGCCGCCTTAGTGAGGGGCGGGAGCTCTGGCGGCAGCCCCGGGGTGGGGAGACGAGCTCCGGAGTCGGAAGAGGTGGGTTTGCTTCCGGGCCTAGCCACCAGCTGGCGGAGTGACCTTAGGCGAGTCACTCTGTAATTTTTCTGCGCCTCAGTTTCCTCCTCTGCCTATCAATGTGTGTGGGGTTGAAAGCGCTTTGTAAACTCTAAAGCGTGGATGTACGTAAAGGATGGTTATTGTTTGTATTTTTTTTTTGAGTTGTAAGAAAACTTAGCAGTTCCCCAATCCTTGGGTTTTGAACCTGGAAACCTTGGATTGGAGTTGGGGATCCCCAAACTCCCTGAAATTGTGGGAATGTGTGGTTTGGGGGAATGATGGGAATTTGTGGGAATGTGCGTTTTAGGGGAATGATGATCCATCGCTAGCAAGTTTTCCAAGGGGGCTGTGACCCAGAAGAGTTAAAAATCACAATTTCTTTATGCTACAGAGAGGAAACTGAGGCCTAGATGTCATTTGGGACCCTTCACAACCAATTTGAAGCCCCTGTTTGAGTCCCTGGGATATGTGAGCTGTTTCTATGCATAATGGATATTCGGGGTAACAACAGTCCCCTGCTTAGCTTCTATTCTGAATCCTTTTCTTTCACCATGGGGTGCCTGAAGGGTGGCTGATGCATATGGTACAATGGCACCCAGTGTAAAGCAGCTGCAATTAGGAGTGGATGTGTTCTGTAGCATCCTATTTAAATAAGCCTATTTAATCTTTGGCCCGGCAACTTTTTTCTGCTGCTTGTACCGGTGCCTGACTACCTTTCTGACTCTCATTGACCATATTCCATGACCATGGTTGTCATCCGTTACTTGATCCTACTTTACGTGTCTAGTCTGTGTGGTTGGTGGTGAATAGGCTTCTTTTCACATGGTGCTGCCAAGCCCAGCTAATTAATGGTGCACGTGGACTTTTAGCAAGTGGGCTCACTGGAAGAGACTGTACCTGGCATGGAATTCCTGAAGATGTTTGGGGTTTTTTTCTTTCTTAATCGAAGGTTAACATTCTCTGAAAAGTTTTGTTAGAACTACTGCGGAACCTCAAAATCAGTAGATTTGGAAGTGATTCAAAGCTTAACTTTTTAACCTTGGCCCTCCTTGTGTTCTAATTGCTTGCAAGTGTAATACTAAGATGTCCAAGATGCTAGTTTTTGCTTCTTTGTTAATTGTCAGCTGCTTTTATCAAATTTTAGGCCATTATCCAACAAACACTATAAAAATGTTTGAACAATTGGATTTCAAACATTTTCGTTTTGTGGAGTGGTGCTCACCGAGTGGTACAGCCCTAAGCAAGTGAACACAAACACATTTAAGTGTATTTTGTCTGATTAGATGTTAGCCGGTTATGCTATTTCATTCAAATGTCTGAAAAAATCAATTGACTATTCCCTTTTCCTAAAGGGCAGAGACAAATAATCTCACTTCCAGAGAAATGACTGTTTTGGAGGAAAAAAGTGTTGGTCTTTTTGCTCTTTTGTAATTAAATCTGGATGTACCTCAAAAAACTCTTAAGACTGTGGTGATAAGATGCTTTCCTCAGCAGAAAGGAGGAAAAAAAACAACTGGAACTCAAAGCTTGAAATTCTGTGGCAAAACATGAGATGTCCAGGATTGGAGGTTGAAAAGATTTCACTACAGTGTTCTACAATAGTTGGAGCAGATAACTTTCAGTGTAGCCACAGCCGTGGACTCCAGATTTCCAGATTTTCAAGAACTGGACTTGGAACCCGAAAGAGCTTATCGGGATGTGGCAGGAACACTGGAGGTAGATATTTTTTTTATTTTTGAATTTTGGGACTGTTGACCTTGCTGTGAGAAAAGAGACAACGACTGAGCAAGCACTACCACCAGCACTGTTACTGGGAATTAGAAGACCTGAGTTTCTGTCCAGACCCTCAGTGGAAACTGAGGACACTCCATCCAAAGTGAATTATGGTACTTGCCATTTTCCAAAATGCCTTTTTCTTTACCATCTCTGCACTTTTGTTCATACTCTCTTTCTACTTTGGAAATGCTCCTCTCTGGCTTTTCATCTGTCAAAACTGCCATTTTCTTAGTATCCAACTCTTATGGTCTCTTTTCCATGAGTCTCCTAACTAGCCAGAATAGAACTTTTAAGTTTTATGACATTTTGTTATGTATCCTCTATCTGTATACAGAATCCTGTAAAATAGTTACTTGCCTGCATTTTCTGTCTTTGCAGATAGCAGACTCCTTGAAAGCAGAGTCCTTGTTTAGTGCATCTTTCCCACATACTCCATAACATACCATGAAACATTTATTAGGAAGGAGGAGTTTAGAGAGCAGGCTATCAGAATAACCACTCAGTGTTTTCTTAATTGCTGTGTGATAACTAAAATTACTCTTAATGAGAAGAAAAGTCGCTAGATATGGGTCATGTTTCTTTATGTTTTAATGTTTTTTGATTCTAAATTTTGATCCAGGGAGCCCTCAGACATAAGGAGAAACCAATATATTGAATGGGGTGTTACATACAGAAGGACCAAGACCTTATTTTCTCCTACTTGAGATGAAATCTTGTTAAGGTGAAAGGACAGCTTTTTAAAAGGAGACGGTCATAAGACAATTTGAGGAAGGCATTGGAAGAGGAAGAGGGGCAATTATCTCCTTTGTTTTATTGTTGGTATATAAATTTAAAATCTCACTTCTTTTTATGCCACTTGTGGAGCCACTTCCTCTCCCCACCAAAAAATGCCCAGCACCCTGAATCCAATCAGATTAGTTTCCCAAAGTATGAGGCTTAGTTTTTGTTTGCTGCTTCACTGAGACAGTTGCCACAAGTTGAGAGTGTTAATCAGGCTTTTGTGTGTTCTTTTTTGGATTGTTGTTGTTTGTTTTCATTTATCATTTGTCTTTGCCTAAGCCAGGCTCATCAAGAATTAACAGCCATCAGGCTACTGATGTGCTGACAGCAGACCCACTTAGAGTCCTGTGTTTGTAATTCCATGCATTTGTTATCTTACCTGTTTTGTCCCTGCCCCTTCTAGTCCTGTGCCTCCTGATTGCTGAGTGTTCACCTGGACCTTCTGACTACCTTCCCTGTGCTATTCCATCAGCCTACAGACCTGGTACCTGGATTTTTGCCCAAGATGATTCCTACCACCTTACTACTGAAGAAGACACCCATTCCAGTGGACCACTGTGACCCAGGAGGCATTCAGCCATCATGATGTGGCCTTTACCTCCACTCCTGTCCTGTTCTACCCAGATTCAGCACAGCCCTTTATAGTGAAGTCAGAGTCCTCAAGCCAAATAGCTAAAGCTGTTTTATCACAACAAAGGCCTAGTTTGTTCCATGAGTGTGCATTTCATTTCTTCAGTTAAAGCCTTCAGAGACACATAATAAATTTGGACCAGGGGATTTTTTAGTTATTAATGCTCTCTGAAGAAAGGGAACATCTTTTTGAGAGCAGCATTGGACCATACCCCACAATCTCAAATGATTGAAATTCATGAACATCTAGGATCCCATGAAGGTCACTGGACCCTGTTTTTTCTACTTCAAATCCTGTAGTAGCCTACTGAATGAGAAAACATATTCTGACCCATTGGGATCAAATCAAAGGCACAGTGAACTCCTCATAGCATCTTCTTTGGAATTACTCAGGAACCAGAACTTTTTACACAAATGTAAGAAATTCTACCAAGGAGTCCCCTTACCTAAGCATCTCACAAGGCTGCATCAGATTCCAGAAAAGGCTTCTCTTGATACATCAAGGTAGAACCTCTATGGTAAATCCCTTCTGTTTATAATGCACTTTACAGTTTCAAAGCACTTGTACATACATTTATCTCAATTGTCAAAATAAGAGTGAATTATAATCTCTCTTTGCAAGTGAGGGAATGTAAATTTTAAAACTTAAGCAGTTATCGAAAGTGACACAGCTGTGAAAGTGGTAGAGGCCAGGTTTTCTGACTCCCAGTCCAGTATTCTCCTTGGAATTACCCACAGTGTTAAAATGACTGGGTATTGGGAACCTCAGGAAATTTTCCAGCTTCCTGGTGCCCCTAGTCACATAGTATGTCTTAAGTGTGATCACATGATAGCTACATCTAGACCAGAATCCCATGGCAATATCCCATGGTTTAAGGGCATTTAAGACATTAATACTCCTGGGCCCTAAAAGCTTATCTATGGTCCTATCTCTGCCAACTAGTATTTACACAAAATGAGCCACCTGGGTTTTTTTAAAGGTAGTATTGTTTGTGTGTGTGTGTATAAATATGACATAGAGAAAGGTGTTACCTGCTAAGATAGTGAAGTATGTAAGACATGTCCCTTCCGCCAGTCTACATTGAGGTGTAGTGTATTAAAGGATCTCAGGAGACTCGCAGCAAATTACTACTGCTTCCGTGCTTAAATTCAGAAGTCTAATAAAAAAAAAAAAAAGACTTGTAGCAAAGAGTTCCATTTTGCTGTTTAACCCATTGTGTCCTAAGTTTAATCAAACACAAAAGGGTATTTTTTGCATCATTCCATCTAATGGAATGCAGAAACTGCTTTAGAGCAGTATAGCCAGTGCTTCCTGATTGCCAACAGATTGCCCTGGACACCCCAGAATAAATAGCATCTTCAAAATCCCCCTTTCTCATACCTTGTTATTAACTGCTTGAATTAGTATGTCTCTGTCATCTGAGAGTCTTGCATCTTGACAATTACCTTTATTTTCTGTCAAGGGAATCTCTAGAAGATGTGTGGGGAGACATAGGAAAGGAATGGAGGAAAGTTAATTCACCCCAAATTGGATAAATTCTATGACATTTAGCAATATACTTCTGTGTCCCTAGAATTGTACCATAACTTTAGTTCAAGGGCATTGCATCTCAGGTGGGTTAAGGAGGTTGGGAAGGGGAGAAAAGGGTTAAGGAGATATTTTCTTCAGATTTATCACCGTCTGAGAAGTCATCCAGCCATGGACTTCTTGGAGTAATACTTACAAAGAATTGGATGCATTTTGCAACCTTGGGCAAAAACCCCAGTGCTGTTGCAACTGAAAATCATTAGCCTTATTCTCTGATAGTTACAAGCCCAATTGCAGGCAATCAAAATTTATAGCCGATGAGCTCTAACTCCAACCTGTAATGTGGTCCATATTAGGGAACGAATAGGAAAACACCTTGGTTTACCATAGGCTTTGCTTACAGTTTCTGCTTTCTGTGACCTATTTTTTGTATTTCAGCATTTTGTGACCGACATATTCTTAGATCATTGGTTTTCCAAAGGCTTTGTGGCCATGAAGCCCTTTGAGTGAAAACTGCAGAAGCCCAGAGTAAAAGTGAAGCTGCTCTGGATGAAGCAGTGAAGCAAGAGTAGGGGCCTGAAGCCTGCTACAACTATCTATCTTCCTTTACCACCGTGGTGACACCTAAGGGGACTTCCTTACAACAGCTTGAACTCTCCAGAACACAGTTTGAAAACCACTGCCCCAGACAGCAATATGTTTGACCTGAATGGCATTCCAATCTTTTCTGTACCTCCACTCAGCACAGTTCATGTTCAGTTGATGCTGAACATTCTTAGAAATACTGTGTGTGAACTTAGAAAAGTGCAAGAAGACAGGCATGTCTTTGACCCCAGGAATGATCATGGGCTGAAAGTGGTGTCAAGTGAACCTAGATTAACAGCCCTCCACTCCAGATGGATATCCAGTGATTCCTAGAATGGGATATAGCCAGAGAACAATTCTATGCACCCTACACTGACAGACTCCCTTAAGCAACTTCTTTCACAAACACCAGATGCTCTACTGGTACTTGAAGTACATGACTTTGAAGTCTTGACCCTCCATGGATACCTGAATTGCCAGCAAGCGGGTTTTGAAGCTGGTGCCTCATTGAGGGCATATTAGAGCAACTTGTACATTTGACCTCTTGTTGTCAGCCATGGTACTCTACTTCGTGTACAAGAGATAACTATGAAAGCCGAATTCAAATACTGGCAACATTTCCTAAAGGGGCTCAATATCTATCATCATCTTTTCCAAACTACACATCACTGTATGACTCAACCAGTAGCAGTTATATTGCCCCTTGGTTTTTATTCAGTTTAACTACTGTTTCCAAGATAAATGAGCTAATAACCTTAAAAAAAAAAAAAAAAAACAATTATTTTTTCTTCATCACTGGCATATCTGCCTATTCTCCAGAATTTTTATGACTACTCAGCTCACTTTTAACAGTTGATCTTCAAGAGACAATCTTTGAACACCCCCCCCCCCCATGTGATTTAAAGTGAAACCATTTGGAAAAGTTTCTTCTAGCCAATAATAGATTTTTTTTAATTGCTCTGCCTTGTGCCGAGAGATGTTCTTTTAAGATGAATCTTTTGATGTCTGATACCACCAACTGTAGGTGGTAGGGATAGTTGGAGGCTGGCCCTTTGAGCAGGCCATGATAGCTTACTTGCTGGGCATTTCAGATAGCTTATTGCCTACCCTTTTGCTGGAAACAGACTGATTTGAAAAACAAAATCTATGAAGACTGCAGCTAAGGATTTTATCAGTAGACTTAAGAGCTTTTGTCCTTGTGGATATTTTAGTGGAACCACAACAGTCTTAATACTGTCATTTTACACTGACTCAGAGCAGCTGACGTCATTCCTTGCCATGATATATATTTAAGGCAGGCATTGTAACAGACATTAAGACAACTTATCTGTTTCAGCAGGAAGGATTCAGTTTATGGACTCTCAGACCGGATCATGTTGAACAAGGAGATTTTGATATGTGTCATGAGAAAACTCATCCTTTACTTCCCAGTCAATTTAAAGGCCAGCTATCCTGAGCTACTCGAATGAATGCACTGGTTAAACATTGGGGATAGTTTATATCCTCTCTCTCTAGGCCAGTTGTGATTACATGACTCCACTCTATATCTTGTCAAACAAGGCCTAAGTCTGGTTGCTGTAGACTGCTCACCCTCAACAAATAAAATCTGGATGACTAGCCTGCTTGTATATACAAATATTATTTGTTAAGAAGAAATTATCTTCAATTTTCTACTATCTTCAAATTGTCAGCTTTTTTCCTCTCTCATTTTTCCTATGCTTTACAGAAAAAGACATTGATCTATACTGCCAATCCCTCTAATCCTGCCAACTCATTCAAAATGAATGACTTAAGATGAAGATGATCATCTGCTCAAGAGTCTAAAATATACATTGTATATAAGAATTGGTGATTAGAAAAGCAAAAAACCTAAAACTTAAACCTAGGAGTTTGCCTACTATCTCCATGTCTCCATGCTTCAGATCTCATCTGAATCTTTGAACAGCACCATTCAACCAATCTGAGGCCTTGGCTTGCTTGTAAGATGATTCTCAGAGATCGGCTGAGTTAAAAAAGATGACGACTTGATTACCAAAGAAAGTAGGGCCAACTTTGACAAACCTGGCTCTGCTGACCCTGTCATTCCCAGATGTAGCATAGACTCCTAAACAGAACCTCAAGTCTGATTGAGGATAAGGCCTTCTCCTGAGCTGAAAGTTCTTTGGCAGATGAGCAAGAAACTGAAAGCTGATATACCTGACTGGCTCTGTAAGATCAGAAAACTGTATCCAGAATAAGCCCTATGGATTAACCCCTGAGTACCCAGGGTAAAAACTAATTTACAGAGCTTCCTTGTTGATCTGCCTGTTCTTCCAGATCATATTCTGGCTATTGGTATGGCTGGCCTTTCTGAAGCTGCCCTGCTTGTCTATTTTCGTGACTCAGCTCTTGCCTGCCCTTTTCACATGTTGCTGCAGTTAGACTCACTGACCTTGAGAAGACTACAGCCAATTTTAGTCTATCTTGTGCCCAATACAACAAGGATTTTTAATAGAAACAACCCACACCTCACCTGCTAGGACTCAGTGTTCACAACAGGAAGGACCATGTTGTATACTACTTGACCAGCAGCTTTTTTAAAGATATTTTTAAGTGCAGAGTTAGCCTCTATTCCTGTATGTATTTGATCATTTTCAGCACCTGGAACCTCATCTATCAGGTCTAGAAGGAATACAGCAGATCGAAAGCTGTGTCCATTTCTCTTCTTCAGTAGTACAGAAATAAGTCTGATTCACCAGTACACACAGAACTGTACCAGTTCAGCCTGGCAAAAGAACAGTTTCTACTGTACTTAAAATTTACCACCGACTCAAATTGCCTCACAGAATTATTTGATATAGGAGGCTAGTTGTCTTGCTTCACATCAGCAGGACAGTTGGACTCTCAGACTCATGACCACTGAGTTTACTTGTATTGAAACTGTGGTTTCATCTGAAGTATGCTATTGGACTTGATTATTATCTCATTCAAATGGATTACAGACTTACTGAGGACAGGACAAACTTATCTCTCATGGTGTTTTTTTAGAATACTTTTATAACCAAGGAAGAAACCATGCCAGCTGTTACCATTCAACTTCTTAAGCAGAGATTAAGCTTTTTCATATGTGTTCTTATCCTAGACATTTTCATATCTGTTCTTATCCTGGACATCAGTAGTTTTTAATTGCCCAGCATCCGTTCCATCTCATTGTAACAACTCCCTGATGTTTCTTAAAACCACCTCTTCCTATTTTCAGTCTGTGGTTTGGACAGTCTGACCCAACCTTGAGCTTTGTGGGTGGACGTGTAATTCAGACCTCATCAATCAGCAAATCCATCTGAACTGTGGAGGAGAAGCTCTCTTTACTGAGGTGCTTTAGCTTTGTAGGATGAAAACCTCAAACCAACAGGGCCTGCCATGTAGAGAATGAAGCCAGTGCAGGGGAAAGTAGAGCCAAAATATGGAGAGACTTGAATCCTGATGACAACGTTTGTGCCCCTGGATCCAACCGTGCCTGAAGCTAGTATATCCCCTGGACTTTTCAGTTATGTGAACCAATAAATACCCTTTTTTGCTTAAGTTACTTTTGAGTTGGGTTTCTATTACTTGAAATTGAATCCAGACTGATAACATCTACCAACTTTGAAACTTGACAGATCCAAGTATTTATTAAACTAGAGGTCATGGTCCCTGAAATTACTTTCCAAAGTGGAAGACAAAATGAAACAGGAACTGAGAGAATATTTAAGATACCACAGAAGCATAAAAATGACATAGTAGAAAGTAATAGAAAACCTAAATGTCTGTCGTTAAAGGATAGGTTAAGGTATGGTTTAGCCATATAGGAAAATCTTGTATCTATTAAAATGAATAAAGTACATTCATTGTGTATGGAAAAATGGCCATGATACATTAGGTGAAACAAGCTACTGATAGAAAAGTGTACAGTGTGAAATCATTTTAAAATGTGTGTGCTTATGTTTATAAATGCATAAAAAAGTCTATTCACAGCTTTCTTTGAACAGTGTAGATTACATGACACTTTCAACTTTATACATTTCTGTATTAATATTTTACACTACCCACATTACTTTTAAACTTTATTTTAAATAAAGAATTTTTTTAATTAAATATAGTGCTTACTGTTTGACCTTGGCAAGTTATTCAACACTGAGCCTGTTTTATCAAATGATTAAAAATACCCACTTTTATGTTCGTAAATATTAAATATAAATCATTCATTATTCAAGTTGACAGATTGCTATACCTTTACTTGTTTGAAAAACTCAGAGCTCAGTAATTATTCCTTAATCTTTTAAGCATGTCTCCTTCAAGTGAGTTTGTTTGGATTACCAGAATTTTAGGATTTTAAGGTTGATCAAAGATTATTCTAGTTCTTGACTGATGTTAATCCAAGACTCTATTGCAGTATCCACATTAGGCAGAGAGCAGGGGGAAGTCACTTTTTTAAAAAATCCTTGAATTATTCTGATGTCACTGCAATTAAGGTCAATAGTGACCTTTTCATTGGTAAATCCATTACACATGCATCTTATCTGAACTTTCAGCAGCACAGATAACTCCCACCAGCTTCTTGAAACACTCTTCCCTTAAGTGCTATAATAATTTTCATTTTCTTTTCAACTTGCTGACTACTCCTTTATTGTAGGTTCTTTTCCCCATCATGTAAATATAGGTATAGTGGACATCCATTGCTTTGGCTTGCCAAAAATCACTTCCCCTTTCCTTTAATGATACATCCCCACTTATCCTTTAGAAAGCTGCTCCTTCGTATTTCATGTGGTGTCACTGGAATTATAGATGATAGTACTCCAGCCTCATGCCCTGTGGCTGAGGTTTGAGCAATGCAAGCTCGTTCTATCCCACCAGGACTTTGATTCTTAAGAGAGGTGACCACCACCGAGCAAGACTTCATCTCAAAACAAAACAAAACAAAAATAGCCAGGCATGGTGATGGGTGCCTGTAATCCCAGCTACTCTGGAGGCTGAGGCAGGAGAATCTCTTGAACCTGGGAGGCAGAGTTTGCAGTGAGCTGAGATTGTGCCACTGCACTCCAGCCTAGGTGACAGCAAGATTCTGTCTCAAAAAAATAATAAAGTGGATAAAGCAGGCCAGGACCACTGAGTTAAAATGGTTACTTTGATGCATTCGCTATTTTTTTAATTGTATTTTTATGTATATATATTTTTGAGACAGTGTCTCACTGCAATGCCCAGGCTGCAGTGCAATTACACCATCTCAGCTCACTGCAATATCTGCCTCCTGGGTTCAGGCGGTTCTCCTGCCTCAGCCTCCCGAGTAGCTGAGATTACAGACACATGCAATCATGCTTGACTAATTTTTGTATTTTTAGTAGAGATGTTGGCCAGACTGGTCTCGAACTCCTGACCTCAGGTGATCTGCCTGCCTTGGCCTCCCAAAGTGCTGGGATTACAGGCGTGAGCTACCGCGCCTGGCTTCATTAGCTATTTTAAAGTGAAGGGCATCAGCTCAAACCCAGAAACTGACCTGTGGGCATAGAATAAAATACAGGGTCTTTTTGTGTCCAGGATAAGTGAATCTCTGTGCTTAAATCCAAACTAGTACTTGGAGATTAATTATTCAAATTGCAAAATTACAATGCTGGTTGAATTTGTAGCATTACTAAGGTCTCTTTTGTGAGAGTTAAGGTATTAATCAGAAAAGAGACTAAATTATGTATAGAGTGCTGATATCAGAAGATTTAGAGAATCCCAATCCTCCAAATATCTCAGGAATGAAGGTTTGGGTAACCCTATTAGTCAAAAATCCCTGACTGAATGAAACAAAAAAGTATAGTCAAAAGAGGAAGAAATAAATAGCAGCTATAGACTCATAACCTTTGGAGAAGTAAGATCTGTAGTCTAACCTGTATCTCTTCGTTTGCCTTATTTTATTTCCCCCTCTCCTCTTTATTCATTACAGTATTCTGCCCTAACATTTCCTGGCTGAAGTTTGAGCATGATGCTAGTTAATCCAGTCAGATTTCTTCTCCATTGGAGCTGAGCCATTCTAATGGCAGTGTCCCCTCATTGATGTGTATGAGTGTGTTGGTGATGCTTAAATATATCAGGAAATCCGTAAATTGCAGATTATCAAGATGGGGTTAAGAACTAGAGAAGAATGAGCATCACCCGGAAATCTTAGGCTTATAACTAGAAATTATTTTAGGTTATCTCCCTTTAAGAGGGAGATCTCCCTTTAGAGGGGATTATGTTGAGTGAAGGTATTAAGATTGTTCATGTTGAAGAATGCATGTCCACATAGTGTACGTTTTGCCTACCCAATGTTATCTTTTTCCCCTCTAAGAAAAACTTCACTTTTCCTTTGGGAAACTACCCCTTTCCCATGCCATGTGAGCCCAGAGGATAACGTGTAAGAGGTATATGAGTTTCTGAGAGCAATATGAGAGGCCTTCACCTGCCCAGATTCCTGACTTTAAGTCTCCTTGCCCTGTAGACTCTGAAAAATCTCATCCGTTCCCATGGCCTTGGTTTCTAACTCTATGTTGATAACTTCCAGATTCCTACCTTTGGCCTTGATACGTGTCTTGAGCTCCAGATCTGAATGCCCACCTGTATCTGGATGTCCCCTGCTTGATTAACACAAAGATACTCTCACCCAACATAATAAACGCTGACCTCTTCGTTTTTTCCTTACAATCTGCTCTTCCTCCAGTGTTCCCTTTCATGGTAAATGGCACCACCCTCTACTCTGTTTCTCAAACCAGAACATGAGAGTTATTCTCGAAGCTTCCCTCTCTCCCAGAGTCCCTGTTAGTCATTAAATTGTCTTGGTGTTAGCATGTAAATATATACCTTAAAACTATCTCCACTTCTATCACTTTGTCCAAGGGAACATATATCTGTTGCTATAAGTATTATAATGCCTTTCTAGTGGTCTCACTGCCTCTGTTATTGTCCCACTACATACAGTCTTCTCTACAGAACAGCTGAGTACCGCCCCCCGCAAGAGATAGGGTATCACTGTTGCCCAGGCTGGAGCGCAGTGGCAATCATAGTTCACTGCAGCCTCAAACTCCTGGCCTCAAGCATTCCTCCTGCCTCAGCCTCATGAGTAGCTGGGACTGCAGGCATGTACCACGATGCCTGGCTGGCCATTTATTTAGTTATGTATTTTGTAGAGACATCATGTCGCTATGTTGCCCAGGCTGGTCTTGAACTCCTGGCTTCAAGCAGTCCTCCCACTTTGGCCTCCCAAAGCACTAGGATTACATGTGTGAGCCACTATGCCCAGCCTACTTAATCTTTTAATAGTTCCCCCATCATTTCAGAATAAAATCTAAACTATCCTGGTTTACAAGACTCTTTAGCTCTTCATTATCTTATTCCTCAAGATTCATCTTTCACCACTTCAAACGGGAACAACTCAATTTTGTATATTGGAATTTCCTGTATTCATTTGAAAAAAAGTTTCCACTTTTTCTTTTTTTTTTTTCTTTTTTTTGAACTGGAGTCTCGCTCTGTCACCAGGCTGGAGTACAGTGGCACTACCTCAGCTCACTGCAATCTCCACCTCCCAGGTTCAAACAATTCTCCTGCCTCAGCCTCCCAAGTAGCTGGGACTACAGGTGCACACCACCACACCCGGCTAATTTTTTGTATTTTAGTAGAGACAAGGTTTCACCATGTTGGCCAGGATGGTCTCAATCTCCTGACCTCGTGATCCACCCACCTCGACCTCCCAAAGTGCTGGGATTACAGGTGTGAGCCACCGTGCCTGGCTGGCTTCCACATTTTTTAAAGCAGAGGAGATGGGAAGTTTTCATTAAAAGAAAAAAAGATTGAAATGATTATTCAGAACAACCCAAAAGCCTATTGCTATGAATACTGTAACTTATTTTCTTCCATATTTCTTTCCATGAAATTTTTTAAAATCTTATATTTGTAACTATGATACCGAGAGCTACAGTAAGGTGCCTAGAGAGCAACCAAATCCCTACCTAACATTTACAAAGATAAATACCAAAAGGACTACAGATTTAAATCTTAAAATGAAACACTAGAAGAATATTTAGGAAACTATTTTTGTAATCTTATGACATGGGAGATTTTCATAAAGCAGAAAACCTACAAGCCATAAAGGAAATTACAGACATATAAGACTACATGAAACAAATCTTGGTTCTGTAAAAGATGTGATTGGAGAGACAGTTCCAACATCAATGACAGATTCGGGACTCATATTGCTAATACAGAGAGTTCCTACAAATTTATAACTAAAGTAATAATTGCCATTTATTTGGTGTTTCATACTAGGCATTCTTTCAGGCACTTTATAAGTGTTATTTAATCGTCACAGTTTATGAGATAGGCAATATTATTCCTGTTTCACAGCTACAGGAAACAGGCTCAGAAGGATAAAGTAACTTGCCCATGTCACACAATAGGTGATAGAGCTATGACTCAAACACGGTTTGTTAGTCTGTACTTTGAAATGTTGATGCTCTTCAACATTTCAGTAAGCATGTGAAAGACAGTGAGGTCAGTGAGATGTGATGTACATCAAAGCAACGAAGTACC